AATATGGATCTATTTTACCCGACTAGCAACACTTGCAACAGTAAGACCGAGACTTCAATAATTTTGCAAGAACAAGGCTGAGACTAAGCTAGTCTTGATCTTAGCCCTAGCCGTCATGTCATTTATTAAACTACACCTAGTGAAATAGAATTATTTTTGTTCATACACATACGCACGCGCTAAAAGCATAACCTTCCTTCTGAGGCAGCCTGGTAAAATCGCCTCTTACCCCCAAGCTGCAAGGTAGCTATGGCTACCATGAGTAGCTACTATTCTTATTCACAAGACATTAGCCTGAGTATTCGGAAATTAACGCGAGACTCGAATTCCCCACTATCCTTCCTACTATTTTCTCCTATATATTAATTCACTTGAAATAAATTGCACTCTGAAGTTATACTCTGAATCCTTTTCGCTTAACTATAACAGGTTTACTGCCAGAAATTACCTAATCATAGAAGGAGGTATAGGAAAAAAAACGCAGGCAAATGTTTATGAAATGTTATAAAATATTTTGGCTGACAGTACTTATTAAGTGTCTCTTAAGTCAAACACGGGTCAGACTTTGATGAGATTCTTGTACGTGGCTAAAATCAAGCCAAGCTCGAAAAGGCTTTGAGAATGTCCAAAACCAGCTGAGTGTTGAAAATATGGAACAACCTATGTCTTTCGGGTTTTTTTTTATCGTTCTGCAATTTTCAGCTTGCTGTAGGGATCTGGAGCTCTGAAGAACTCCAAACGATGGTTTTAGCCTAGTAATAACTTAGGTCAAAGCAATAAATAATCTGTGCCTAAAATTTAGACATCAATCCATGTGTACTGCTTAATTCTATTTTTGTGTTTTTTTTGAGCATTTCATGATCTTGGACAAACAATTATTCAGAGCAGTCAGTGTTTCAGCGCTTTTAATTTTTGTGATCATTCTGAATATCATGTCATGTCATTAAAAGTTCTTAAAATTTCTGTACCTGGAGTTTTTAAAAGTTCTTATAACTTTGTTTGAATTGATATTTTGTTGTGTCAATTCGTGCGAAATTAGCATTGGTCACGATGCTTGACTTATTTGAGTAGGAGCGAAAAAGTATGTTTAAAAATTCAATTTGCAAGAAAGTCAGTTTATTGTATTTGTATAAATAATAACTATGTCAATATTACATAAGTTAGTAAAAACACATAAAGCTATAAACAGGCGAAAAATTTTAAAAAGACGTTAAATGAATTTAGTAAAGTAATAAGTAATAGGTAAGATTGCACATAAATAACTTTGACAAAGCGTTGGGTGAGTTGTAATTAAAACATGTATTTCAAATTGACATATCCAATGGGTCAGCAAATTTTTAGAAATGAAACACCCAACAAAGAAGTTGGCCATTTTCACAACAAAGCAAATTTTTGATGAAACTCAGGCATTAACATCATGCAGAAAATTGATATTGTATCGTAAGTCAAAATTACAGTTTATAGAACGCACATCTCGTCGGGTTACTGCCAAAAAAGAAAGTACATTTTTGTCATTCTTGGGTTAATGGTATAATCTGTGTGCCGGCAAAACCACATACCTTAATATTAGGAGGAAGAGATTTGAATGCATGTGCTACAAATACGGTAAATGCAACAAGAGGACATCTAAAACAAGACATGCGCCTGCGATTAGCAACATACGAATTATCGTACGACATTGGCACTTATCTCACTTTAGCAGTTTTGTTTTAGTGCTAATATAAGAATGCTAGAGTGACAATAAGATAAGTACCATATGTCGGGTTTTGTTGTACCGGTATAAATTGAAATCAGGGGTTGTTTCGGAAATATGATAATTACTTGCCCCTCCCAACACAGCATTTTAATACGTGAGGATAGAGCTAAATGGAAAGAGAGGTAGCTTAGAAATTGGCGCATGAGTATAGAATTACAAAAATCAGCCATATTCTGATGTCTCCGAACTATCGTAGAATCAGTCAAAATCGCAATCCAAATTGCTCTTGCTGTACATGGTCCAAATTAATCCAAATATTCAAGTTATAGTGCAAACGTTTTTAAAATCTGGCCACATCTAAATGGAGGTCGGAATTATGCTCAGTGCAATTGAAAAGGCGCAGAAGTTCCTATTTATACAATCCAGGACTGGTTGACGATTTTCATCATCGTCTAATTAGAATAAAAAACCGTATAAGGTTGAAGAATTGAAGATTTTTTAAATTCAAAAATTTCATCAGGAGAAGGACAATCAAACCAAATTGACAAATGCGTATAGAAATATTATACCAATATCAATAAAGAAAAAGCAAGATTAGACTTTGTAAAGGTAATGTTATTCCTGAGAAATATTATTATTAGAAATCGCGTCCAACCTCTAAAGAAGTAAAGGATCTTATTTCAGAACCAGCAGCAGAGTATTTTGATCTTGAAGAAGACCCGGTATAGGAAGAGTAAAATATTTGAGATATAGAAATGTATACATCCAAAACAAGACAAGTGCAAAATATGGTTTGTTGTTAATACTTTTCTAAATGATATGAATATGTTTTACTGCTGTTTTTAGACTTCTGTAAATTTATTTTTTTAATAAAAAAGTAGTTTATTTCATTGTTTAATTTTTAATTTAACAATGACGTTCAAGATATTCATATTTCCGAAGTATAAAAATGTAAGTTATCTGGTTTTTGCAGTAACCCGACGATATACAAATGAATGCTAAGCAATTCTTACTGGATTCAGTCAATATGCCAAAAACAGCACAAAAGCATTCAGGATGAATCCCGCTGATTTGCATTTCAAAGTCGCATTGCAAGACCTTGCTTGAGCTATGTACCTACTTCTCTCGTTTCGAGTTAAGAAAGAATTAACCAATAAAAAAGTGTGTGTGGCATTTAGGAGAAGTAGAGTATATTTACAAACTCGTGAGACAATCAATGGCACCTATAATGCATGAATATAGGTTGTCCCAACCAATAGGATACTCACTCTCACCGCCTTCATTTGTTTGGATGTTGAGGAAGGGCTGATTTAATGGCTTATCCTCCACAAGTTGCATATATTTCACAGGATAGCAGTTGACTGGATGATGTTGGTATTGATAACTCGGATCTAGTTGGACGTTTTGGCATGGACTTTGACATTGGCTGCTGGAGAAGACGTTACCTTCCCACTGGTTTCTCTGTATAGTTTGTGGTAAGCATTGACTATGACCTGCCTGCCCCTCAGTCACCAAACGTTGCTCAGGCCTCAGCGTTTGGACCGTTGGCTTGCTATTTGAAGTAGGAGTTGATGCAGCAACTGACAGAGTAGGAGAGGTCCCGTTGTCTAATCCAGGAGAGGGCCTTCTTTGTTTTTGTTCCTTTTTACATTTCATCCTTCTGTTTTGGAACCAGATTTTGATCTGACGTTCCGTCAGGTTCAAGTCTTCAGCAATTCGGATACGTCTTGATCGGCACAGGTACTTGTTAGTGTAGAACTCTTTCTCCAGTTGAACAAGTTGGGATGAAGTATAAGCTGTTCTGGCTCGTTTGGTATTTGGAGCACCGCTTGAGTTCGGCTTTGGACTGATTGGACCTGGTGGAGGACTTTTTTCTGTATCTGAAAAGAAACAAGCTTTTTAGTTTGGCTACTCACTGGTGATTTTCAGTTTTAGTATTGGCAAATAAATGTTCAGAATATACTGTGATATGTGCGAGTTGTTTAGTTCTTCTCTTACTCGATCAAGTTGTTGTTTCTATCAGAAAATCGAGAAATTAAATATGAAAAGTGAGTTCTAGTACTGTCTTAGACCAGTCTACACAAGTGCATAACAAGGTAAAACAGTACCAGTGGATTTAAATAAGTTAAATCAGCTGGCGACTACAACTGCAAAGGCTTGTGCAATAGGTCTGCCTTTGATGACCAAGATGATATGTTATGTTATAAATGCAGTATTTGGAAGCATATGACCGGTCTGGCAATGTCTAAAATTATATGAACATGAGCATGAACGAGAATGAAATTTACTGAGCAGGTCAAAATTAATTTACAAAAGGAATTAGATGATATTAAAAAACAGTTGAACAAAAGGTGTCAAGAACCTGTAACCTGTTCTTTCATGGAGTACCTTGTAAAGAAGATGAAAGCCCACCAGAAATCATAAACGAGATCGGTAGCTACTATGATGTTCCAATAAACCAAAAGCCCACTGTTTTTTCAATCCCAAGATTTAAGCTACGCAACCGATAATAAAGTACTTCTAAACCTGAGCTCACAAAAGCGAATGCTAAACTGTACAAAGCTGCAAGGTTGCTCAAAGATGAAAAAGGCTACACATTCCTAGGGATTGGGGATAGAAGCGTTTTCCTACGGAAATATGAGCGATCTAAAGTTCTGTTAGGTGAAATTAAGGAGCAGTTGGAAGACTAGAAGAGGCTCGAAAACGACTTAAAATTGCTTAAATCAATTGCTAGTGTATCCGGAATAATAACGGTCTTGTGCAATATAGTATGTTCAAAGAAGACTAGTGCTTTGTGAATCGTGGTTGCAGAACCGCCTTTTTGAGTTAAAGACTACTCTTCTGTGTCCAATGGCATCGTAAACTAGATGTGTGTTGGTTTAGGTGAACAAAGTGTTAAAATTAGTGTAACATACAATCCATCATCGTACAGCAATAATGATTTTTTTCGTATCTCGAGTCCATCCTCCTTAAGCGTCCAAGAAATCATTTAATATTAGGAGGTGTCACCATAAACCTACTAGAAGATTATCTAGTGACTTTTAACTATACAAATTTGTTAACCATAAATAACTGCAAAATAAACACTTCAATATGTGAATTCTCAGTGTTCGTGGTAATAAGATAGATTATAATGTGAGTGTTAAGGAAAATGCCCTGTTGGATCATAAGTTACTGTTAGTGAATGTGAAACAGCCTCAAAATTCATAAGCCATAGGTAGATTATGAAATAAAAACTGTAGGCTATAACTGATTTTAATGTCTTGTTCAACAGAAGGTACAAACAGTGAATATTACTATGGCAAATAAATAATTAAAATGAGTAAATAAGCTTAAAATCAGTGAAATTACTTCACTTTATAAATCAGGCGATAAAGACTCGATGAATAATTGTAGGCAAATATCTGTGATCAGTGTTCTATCTAAAATTGTTGACAAAATTATAAAAAAAGAAGGTTGTCGTTCAAAAATGAAAACACATTAGCTGAGAGTTACCACTATGGGATCATAAAAAAAAGTAGAACTCTTTCAGTTGCAGTTGATTTTGTAAATCATATCCCAAGGGCGCTGGATGAAGAGCAAGTGGTTATAGCGGTGTTGACAGCTTTAAAAAATCATTTGATGTGGCAGATGTCAATATATTATTAGATAAGTTCAAAATGTGGGACATATTGGTGCTATGTATAATTTGATTGGAACTCATTTACTTAACAGGAAACAATATGTGAAAATGGGTGAAACAAATAGCGACTCGTTATTTAGGAAGTATGATGTTCCTCAGGGGTCATCTTAGGACAATGTTTATCTCTCTATATGATCTAAATCTAAAAAGTGCTAATCATAATGTAAGGTATTTTACGAGTAATTTTGCTGACCACGCAGTTCTCTATAAGGAAATCATGAGCAGGCTCTGGGTGGTGAGGAATTAAGTTTAGATATTGCTCTTTACCGTAAATGGTTGAATTCAAATATATTGAAGATCAACATCGATAAAAATATCTAATTTTTGAAGAGAAGAATAAAATAATTGAAAACTTTTGTATAAGAATAAATAACGATAGAATAGAAAAAGAATAAAGCATCAAATGCTTGGGTTTAATTATAGAAGAGAACAATTTTTTGGATAAGACAACGTCGATGACAGCTGCTTTGTACTGAACAGATACTACGTAACTACAAAAAGTAAAATAAACATTTATAATGCATTTTCCTTGTCACACTTTAGATATATTTTACCTATTTGGAGGAAGTGTGGTAAAACTTGGGGCACACCTTTCGCAAAATGGAATATTAATTATTTTGTTCAACTATGACCGACCTGAGAACTCGGATAATATGTAAACAGACCTGAATTTTAGTAAACTAGATGAGCGGTTAGAATTAGATTAATATGAAATGATTTAACAAAAACAATGACTTGTACCGGATTCCTGCTAGAGCTAGTATAGGATTAAATAGCCATGTCACTCATGCAGTAAGAACATATAATAATCTACCAAATAGTGTAAGAGCACATATATTCAGAAATTAATTAAAACACTCAAATGTCACTTGAATTGTTGAATATATTGTTGTTAATATTCGCACTTGAGTACTGTTGTTCTCAAGGCCAGTGTTCTAAACACAGACTAGAGAACTTTGTTTACTATAAAGTTTGTAAAAACTGACTGTTGATTAACGATTTCTTTAAAAAAAATATATGTTCAAAAATCCTCATTTAATTCGTTTGGAAAAATATGCTCTTTAGCGCTTTGGGATAACCGTACTGTGAAACTTCTAGCCACTCCTGTTAGCCTGTTCGTGCAATCTCAGCAACCGACTTTGATAAATTCTTTTGAAACAGTACTATTTGAGAATCGATGCCACAGTAATTTTCTTAGAAACGATCAATAACTAAATGATAATTTTGTGGAAAAAAATATAAAATATGCATATATATTCTGTATTTTGAATTTGTATATATACGAGTAGCTCACCGTCGGTTATTAGTCATAGTACTGAAAACAAAATTTGGTATTGCTTATCACTATCGTGACTCACCTGTCGATCTTTTATCTTGGCTGTCAGCGTATTCGTAGGGAATTTGGATGCTATAGAGCGGTTTTCCCTGGATGGCAACTTGAACATTCTGGGTCGGAAATGAAAAATTGGACTGTTGGTCGTTTGTACATTTAGATAGGTGTTGGTTGATTTGTAGATCCTGATACTAAAACAAAAAATTGTTATTATATATATGACTACATTTTCATTGCTTTCGTCTTGGAAGCTTAAAGCTAAATGGTTGTATAGTTGGTATGAGATAATATAATCGTACCAAAAAGTATAAGAAAAAAATATCTTCATGCGGAAAACGTGTTGTAAATGATGGTTATGAGACTGGTTTGATTTTTTAAATTTTTTGCGTATACACGTATAACAATGGAAGCAAGCACTGGTTTGATCACCCGTCTTTGCTTGGAAATTAAGATTCAAATAAGGATTTTTTTAACCTTTAAACTATTTTTTTGACGTGTACATTTTCATTCCTTTTGTCTTGAAGCTTAAAGCTAGGTTGGACAGTTGGTATGAGAGAATATCCTGGTACCAAAAAGTATGAGAAAAACGTATCTTTATGCGGGAAACTTGTTGTAAATGATCGTTATGAGACTGGTTTGATTTTTTAAATTTTTTGCGTATACACGTATAACAATGGAAGCAAGCAATGGTTTGATCACCTGTCTTTATTCAGAAATTCAAGTTTAAGTATGGATTTTTTCAATCTTCCAAGTATTTTTTGACGCATGTAAAATTTTATCCATCGTCAAGCTCAAATATCCTAATTTCCATGGTGCACAGTTTCAAAGATGCTTATATATTTGACTAATCTTTAAAGTAAAATACAAACATCGAAATAAGACCGTACAAGGTGGTCGATTCTACTAACAGCACTTTGTGCTGCCAAATAGCAAAAAACGGACAAACGAAAGCTATAGTACTAGTTAAAATACAATTGTCTAACTTATTTTGTTTCTCTTCGTTACAGTGGTAACAGAGTTTGATTATTCCTATGATTTTAATTATGTATGAAACTAGAATAAATTTTCCATCTACTCACCACAAAGTTGTTTTGCACCTGGTAGTTGCTTGTACAAGCGTTTCTTCCAGCTTGAAAACCGTAATTTTCACCCCCGCACTCAGCAGCACTATACGGTGGCGGAGATTCGGTTGAGTTCGAAAGCGGTGAAACACCCTCGGTCAGCAGCATATTGCTGTAAGTTTCCATGCTCTCAAAGTGGTTCTCGCTGTAATCGGACAGTTGGACAGTTGAAGACATGCACTGCAATGAGCTGAACTTTACTAATGACGGGTATTTATAGAAAAGTTTGACCACTCCTTATCTCGTTATCGGTACTCCGATTGGTCAATTGCAGGTTACATCCGCCTACCTGCTTCTTATTTTGGCAGAGTAAGCATTTTAATCCGTAAGAAGGCAAATTTTATGATATCGACAGGCTAGCGCAGGAAGAATGTTTTAAAACTGTAATAGTAAGACAGAATTGGTAAGGAGACAAGATTCTTTATTTTCTTCATCGCTGCTGTACCAAAGCTCTTAAGACTGATTTAAAATAGTTCACTGGCTTTTGTTGCCGATGTAACGGTAAAGTAATTTCATTTTTTGTTGGAGTACTTTCAGTATAAGTCATACTTTGTGGTGTATTGTCTCAAAATATAATGGGCACACAGTACAGGGTGGCACAAAATGATCGCTAAGACTTGAAAAATAAAATAGAAAGACACATTTTTAAAAACAAGTTTCCAATCAACTGTTAAAACTAACTACAAGAGAAAAGGAAACGAGGGTGGGCTGGCCCTGGACTGTATTCAGCGCTACTTTAAAAGAGGAAAGGATGACTGCAGGTGCATACCAAGGTAAATTTTTATAATAACAGAGTCGGAATTCGATTAGCGATCTGGAATGTAAATCGTCTCTTATTTTGGTACTCAGCAAGTGATCATCTAGTATTTTTCTCCTCTTACTACTGTTCGTCGATATTGTGTTGTTGAAGTGTTGTGCTTTACTCTTGAGGGTGTGATTGTTCTTGAGTGCCTTTTTTTATCAAGGCTGATAATGGAAAATAAAGGGTCATCTGCGACCATTTTAATTACGAATGCAGTGAGTTTAATTCATGATGAGGTCAACAATAGTGTGGAGCAGTTCAACTCTATAATCGCAAAATACATTGGGGTAAACGAGTAAATTATTGCAAGAAGAGGTCATACCATGGAAGACGTGCTGCAGCTGTAGTGAGCCACAATACCCAGCGGCCTGTCTAGGTGGTCTAAATACATTTGTGTTCTAAGCTTAGTTCAGCCTCGCTTATCGCTAAGATGGAACAAAGACTCAAACGCAAGAATCTTGAAGAGAAACTCAGACCAAGTAAACGTGATATAAAAATAACTAACAATTCGGATAGTAATTCCAAATAATACAAATAGTTCTATGGCGAATTCAGTCTAAAACTTGACATTAACTACATTGATTTGGAGGTTGCTATGTGGAAATTTTTTGGGAAACTCAAAAAAGTGACGAGATTTTGCAGATCGTACAAGTCACCAAATCACAGGACTGTACCTTGTCGCGCCTTCATCGGAGGATAAGGTTGACAGCGTCTCGATTTGGTGAAGTTTGTAGAAACAGGCAGACAACAAGCTGTAAAGTTCTAGTAAACTCCAACAAATACCCAACCGAGTTTTCTAGTAAGGCAATAAAAAAGGCAATACAAAAATCATTGGACACCGCAGCAGTTCAATCTTGTGGTCTGTTTATTGATCGCACACATCCATTTCTGGTAGCATCGTCTCCATCTGCCTATTACAGTAGACAAGAAATGTACCTAATGCAGGTATATGCCTACCTATTTAGTGCTTTGCAAAAACTAAATAACTGTGTCCTCTTATTTTGACGACATAAGATATTTTTATGACCTTCGTTCAATTGTTACCATGTACCATATGACCCTTGTAAACATAATTGTGTTTACTGATATGAATAAACGAATTTGAGTTTGAGTTCTTGAATTTATTTTAGGAAAGATATCAAATTATTTGAATACATTTTTTCTTAGTCGGAACGCACCGTGGACTGGCAGGACGAAACAGTAGACGAATTTCGGCCAAAAACCGATTTGCGATTCAGAGCTTACGTTTCATTTTTTATTATTTCCAAATGAAACTCTTGCAGCATGCTAGTCCACAGAGTGCTAACGGTCCACTTTTTCGACTTTATCCACTATAATCTTCTTAAAATATCAAGAAGTTGAGCACAAATAGTAAGCATTTCAACCCACCATAATTCTTGCGCAAAGACAAAATTTTGTAAAAAGCTCTGATAGCACTTTGGGCAATTATGTTCTGCTTATATCCAGAAAAACATCAAATTGAAGGTAACGGCGAAATGGGTACATTTCACGGGTCATGAAATTCAAATGAAAATGCAGGTATAAAATCTACCAAAATATCGTTCTCAAAAACATATTTCATTGACATATCGATAATTTAGAGTTCCACGCTAAATTCCCCTATACTTGACTGGAGTGATATCCGATTTCATTCTTCCCTACTGTCGGCAGTTAGAGATAGATCTGTTGGCTCTTGGTGTCAAACAAATTAAGCAGGTACCGATTTTTTTGAAATCGTGAGCTCCTTATTCGTTACTTAAATTTCCTGTAATCACTGGGATCAGAAGCTCCTCAATAATAGAACGTGTTTCGCTGATATCAAAGATGCAACATTTAGAATCACATTCCCCTAACCCCCACTTTTTAAGCAGTACAATTTTTTTCTGTCAATGATAAGGAACCCCTGTAATGTCAAAAACGGAGTTTCAGCAATTGTTACTTTTTATTTTTTGCCTATAACACAGTAGCCACTGGACTAAAACTACAAAGGTTTGGCATACTAGTAACCCTGTGTGGAAATTTCATAAAAATCCGAGCGGTAATTTCCAAGTTGATGATGAGTGATATAGTTTTTCGTGATGTAAATGTCATATGACTTAAAAAAACATAACATCTCATTTTAGAATTTTTTCGCGATTACAATACCTCCTCGCCACTGGCGTGGGAAGTAAAACAGCTTGAAAATCGAGGAGTATAAGCGATCGTGATTAAGCGTACCTATTTGCAGAATGACTTATCTATGCGATATTATATGAAATAGGGCCACCAAATTATCTGAATAGATAGAATAGTAGACAAAATTCGTCCAAAATACGGTTTGTAGAGGTTGGCGCGCTTCGAATTTGACGCTTTGCTTTTTTATGTTTCAGAATGAAATTTTCACAGTGTGCTTAAAACAAAACCCCACTATTTCATTTTTTTCACTAGATCCTTTTAAAAAAAGTTGAACAGAAAAAGAGCGCACTTCAACCCATCATAAAACAAAATTTCTGCTCTTATAGCACCCTCGGCAATTATCTTCTGAACATACTGTATGAATTTCATTCAAAAGGATTGAAAAATGGAGTGTCAGTTTCGAAGCAGCTGAACCCTTGTAAATGGCTTGAAACTTACTGCGTCAGAGCCGCCTTAAGCTTCAAACAGAATTGCAGATCATTTGTCTCAAGTTTTCACACAAAATCGTATTACGTATTAACATCAAGAGGGAAAAAGTACATGCACGTTTTTATTTGAAAACTTGAATCGAAGGAACTTCACTAAAGTTAAAGTTTAAATGTTATAGAACATAAAACAGCATATTTTTAATCAGAAAAATACTGGATCTTTAGTTCGGCTTAGTGAATACGTAAAAGCTTGTCTTCAACATACAATATTTTTTCATGTTTTCCATTTTCCTTGATAGGTTGCAGACCAGTGCTGACAAAGCCTGGCGCAGTGAGTCATTTATGGTACAGCTACTTAACATATTTGGGTCTGTTAGCTTATTGTGTACCCAGGTACCCAGATGAATCACCATTCTGAGTCTTATCAAATCTGGAATAACATCGCCTTGGTGGTAGTATTAAAATCATAAAAGGCTTGCACTTTGTATCCATATTACAGGTATTATTACAGAAATGATATCGTTATTTTGAAGCAGTTGCCATATTGGATTCAAAATAGCGACATTAGTTTTATGGCATATAGTCATGAAAACCAATCGTATATATAATCTTGCAGCTCAGTCAAGGTTACCTGGTTCAAGAATGAAAAAGTCGCAAGTCTGAGGGGTCCGGTATATAGAACTCTTCCATTTGATACCCAAGTTGTAGATGTTATCACGGAAATAATAAATCACCATTTACATATACATTTCGTATCGTCATGCGAACAAAACCTGCATATAAAGCTTTAGCTCGATTGGTACAGGTTAACTGGTTAAAAACTGAAGAAATCACGAAAAATGACGATTACGTCAACATTTTAGTCTGTAGTAAAGACAAACGACAGCGATTTGTGAATATATTTAATGAAGTTTTTGATATGTTAGACAGAGACAAGCAGAATTTTATTGCCTAAACAAACTGTATTGCTAATTTGCATGTATCCGACAGAGATAGACGATGTTTTCATGTTGCATGATCGATCATATTTGAAAGATGAATAGTTAGGGTATATTAAAGCAGGTTATGTTGTTTTCGAATAACACTTGGTCTTTGGTGTTCTCTACTCATAACTGTTTTTTCAAAACAAAACTCCCCACTAAAATTATTATTAAGGTATCACTCAAAACTATGAAATAAAATGAAAATAATGATCAGTGAAATAACCTAACTTCGCAAAATCATAATATACGTTTGCTGTCATTATGTTTCTGACTCCTGATTTTATCATCGACGCACGTCCATTGATTACTTCAGTACAATTTATGGTATGACGTAATAGTCATCTTTCGTGATTTTCACTATACATATACATTTCGTATTGTCATGCGAACCAAACGTGTTTATAAAGCCATAGCTCGGTTGGTGCAGGTTAACTGGTTAAAAACTGAAGAACGTGTAAATCAGACTTTGAGTAATAATAATATATTATGGGTAACAATGTTGAGTATACATAACTTTATAATATATAAAAACCATAATAAGAACAATTATTTTGAAAAGTGTCTAAGTAATGAATATGAGTTGAGCATGCCAATATACCGTAGGTTAAATGCGGCTCGATAAAGGTAGGTACAAGGTATGAAGATATTCTTTTAAAATGCTTTTGATATATTTAATTTTATACGACACATATCTAACTTTTTTTAAAAAATATATGAAATATAAACACATACCAATGCAAGTGTGGATCCAGGAATATTTCAGGGTGTTTTATGTCTAATGCTTTGTTAATTTCTAATTTCTGTGTTTTAGAGTAATTAATGCTCAATTTTCTGTTATTAAGCCACTGGATAATTTTCATTTTCAACTATACTTCTCAAATTAAGCAAATTATTACCTTTCTAAGAAACTGCTGTGTCATCTGCGAAACTTACTATTTTGCGTACATAGTCAATTTAAAATATATTATTTAAGGATATATTAAAAAGCAGTGGACCTAAAACGGTTCCCTGTGAGACGCCACATTTGATTGATATTTCATTGCTGACAAATTTTGATGATTAATGAAAAAATCAGGAATTGAAGTAAAATTTGGCAAAACGTCATAGCCTCATTTTGACCACTTCGAAGGCTTGAAGTGTCGTTTAGTTCCAACCACTTTTACAAGTTATTTGTTTTAAAAGGGAAATTTGAAACCTGTTACTTATTAGTAGCCAATTCAGATGGAAAATGAACTTATCTGATCGGGGTTTTTACAATTTAATCATAAGCCGCTTATGAAGGGAAGGTTATACCTGCGGTGCTAGGTATAGAGGGGGAATCTGCAGATGACATGGAATTGGGGAAAAGGCGTAGGATTTTAAGAAAACTATTGTTTGTTACGGTCAAAATACTTTGGCAATGAGTAGACATAATGACTGGGAGTTTCCAAGTATCAATAATCGAATATGTCCAAAATTGCAGATACCCATTGTGCTTAGCACGGCGGATATTTATAGGAACTATGAACATGTTAATATTAGATATTACGGCTAAGCTAAAAATTAGCATTTTCCTAGAATAATGTTGGATTTTGCCTTTGTTTCTTGTAGAACAGATTAAGACCGTCACATGAAACCAAGAACAATGCGTAATGCTAATGCCCGAGGCAAGCACGTACGCCCGACTGGTTCTTATCATCGACATACCGAAGGTACACCACCTATCACGATGATAACATGGTCCCATCTTTGGCAACTACGTCTGAATAATAACCAAAGGAAACCCAATTGCATTTCCTTTTTGTAATATTTCCTCTATATAATCAATAGTTTGGGGTTCCTGGTTTCATGAAATACTTAATCTTTTGACGGATGCGAATTTTTCAGGATACAACAATACTAACCATTTGTATAAGGGTACATATACTTCTAGGTATTGAGAATGAAATCTGCTGTGCTACTTTTTCCACGATTAACGTCCAAACCTTCGAAAACGGATTGTCATTGCTCGATGCCATTGGGTCGAAACGTTTCTGTTATTTTATTCGGATACTCAAACTTGTCAACTATACTATATGTATTATCATAGCCACCTTTACCATACAAGCCATACAGTAAAATAAGCAACGTCGCAGTACTAGTTTAAGGTAGTCCAGAGTACTCTGTAGAGTAGTCTTACGTAAAGACGTTCATTAAATACCTGACATAAATTTATTAGTTGAATTCCATGTTTACAATCTATAACTTGAATTGATAAGTGGAATTCCATGTTTATCTAGTCAAATCCAACTAAAAATCAATAAAATATCTCCACTAAATATAAAAATAATAACAGTATAACTGATTTTCAAAAACTGCCTCAGAGTAAAAATATGGTATAAAGCAAAAATTTAAGATTATTCACTATAAACAATAGAATAATAGATACAAAATTCTTGTCTTGTATAAAATAATATGTATCATTAGAAAACCTGCTAAATGCCCTAAGAGGAAACGGTAAAGGATAAATAATGTAAAATATTCAATGATTTAATGTTTTAAGCTTTTTTTCTTCGAGGATATAGACAAAGTATTACTTTTCTCTATAGTAAAATGTCAGTGCCACCTTGAAATATATTTGTCTGGCTGGAGCATCGGATTCGCAAAATGTAGAAAAATCTATAAGGAACTCATTAGTTGCTGAATTCGTCAACGCCAAAGAAGCTAGCAAATTTAGCCCAGTCTTTCTTATTTCTCACCCGGCGCACTGCTTCGTACCAACTTATTCCGCTGTTCTTGAGTATTTTCACCAATCCATCATTACACGTCTTTTTCGGTCGCCTGCTTGCCCTTTTCTTTTGAACTCTCGCTTTCCATATGAGTTTTACTGGCCTTGTATCCTTCATCCTTACTAAATGCCCAAACCATTTTAATTTCTTCAATCCTTTGTAGTAAAGATTCTACTCCCAGCTCTTCTCTAATAACTTCGTTTCTAATTTTATCTTCCCTAGTGACTCCTTTGACTGCCCTGAAGTATTTCATATCAATAGCCTGTAACTTGATTTTTTGCCTGTTCGTTAATACCCAGCTCTCGCTTCGAAATATCAATATGGATCTGAATACTGTTCTGTACACGGTCATCTTCCTTAAGAAAGATGTTTTCAATGTGTGATAGAGCCTAGATGCGTTCATTAATCCTTCGTTGATTTCCTCTTCCATTGTTCCATCGCCTTGTACTACCACTCCTAGATATTTGAAAGCTTCGACTTGTTCTATACGTGCGCCCTTAGTAACTATATTCATTCCAGTCCCCTCTGCTGTCGTCATCACTTTTGTTTTAGATACGTTAATATTCAAACCTCTCTTCGATAATTCCTGGATCCAGATTTTAAGGTTATCTTGTAAGTCTTTTGAGGTATTAGCGCACAATAACAAATCGTCCGGGAATGCGCACTCTGAAATATTTATTGACCTCGTTTTGTAGAAACCCACATGTACTTTTTTAATTTTGCTTTTAACGTCCTTTATTACATCATCCATATTCATAATGAATAATATCGGACTCAGGACTCCTCCCTGTCTCAGCCCATCTCCTATGATAAATTCCTCTGACGTCATGTTATCCTTTCTAACATGCACTTTTAGCTTGGCTACTCATCAATGATTTTTATTTTTTTGTTCCAGATAATATTCAAGAAAAGTTCCTATTTGCTCCTGTACCTACTTTTGATTTAACATTCGGTGAGGTTCAAACCATGTGCCATTTGATATCGTCTTAGTCGGCTCAGATACTTGTTGCATGTTGCCGAAGAGTTCCTCTTCCAGTTGTAGGAGTTGGTACGTAGTGTAACATGTTCTGGCACGCTTAGTCTTGGGAGCACCACTCGAGTTGATTTTTCGATTGCTTGGTGCTGGAAGAGCGTTTTCTGTATCTGAAAAAGAACAAAATAACTTTGAGCAGTAATTTTCAGTTTTTCTTCTAGATAGTACTGAGGAGAACAAACTTTATTGGCTAATAAATTCGTACATTGTGATATTTAAAAAAATTTCATTTTATTTGTTATTAACAAAACGGTCTTTATCCGCTTTGAGATGATTGCACCATGAAAATTCATGCCACTTGCCGCCAGTCTGCTGACATCTCAGCAACCGATTTTGTTAAATTTATATCAAGCAAAATATGTTTAGCGTTCTGGTTGCTACGTTCTGGAAAATCGGTCGCACATCAATTTTACAAACAATATTTAAAGAAATGACAATTTCATGGAAGAACATTTAGAAAATGGCTGTCAGTGCATGCATAAGGGATTTGATCACTGGAGAGCGGTTTCTCCTGGAAACCAACTTGATCCTTTTGGAACGAAATGAAAAATTTGGTTGCTGGTCGTTTGTCTATTGTAGGTCGTGATACTGGAACAAAAAAGATATTGTTAATATAAAGTGTGTTTATGTTTTCATCGTATTTGCCTTGAAGCATGCACAAAGTGCAAGAACTCTTTGGTATATATAGGTGGTATATATAGGTGGTATATATAGGTGGTATATATAGGTATATATATAGGTGTATATTGGCATGTAAAATTTGTTCCACCATCAGGTTCAAAATTCCTACTTTCCCATGACGCACAGTTTTAAAGCATAAGATGAGCACCCATACATTTGTCAAGATCTTGTGAAATATATAGGTTTAATCTTTGAAGTAAAATCACTATCGACATAAGCACAAAGTGGTCGAAGTTCGTCTTTCTACCAAGGCTAGGCCGTGCTGATTAGTTGCTGTCCATGGTTGACCTTCTGTTCGGATGAACGACAACGAAAATTCAACTTCCTACAAATAATGCTTCAAATTAAACTCAAAATTCCAGGGTTGTATTTAGTTTTTTTATTTTCTTGTATCTTATCGAATACAGCACCCTGTAAGTCATGGGTGGCCAGACCAACACTATAAAGTAATGCATCTTGTATGTATATATCATGTGGAACAGCTCTTGGTTTTGCTGTTTTGATTGAAGACACTAGTCATCTATTATATATTAAGTTTTGCTAATCTTACAGCAAGTAGTTTATATAACAATACGCAAATTTGGTGGTTTACGTTGAGTGTGTCCAGAATTTAACTGTTACTGCTACTGCTACTGCTAGTGTATTCAGATCGTTTTGCTGGAAGTTTCCGTCCCAAGCCGCGTAGGTTTTTTTTGCATTGTGCAAAGCCCATCGATATCGAAATAGTAAAAAACCAACCAGCACAGCGTCAAATGTAGAATTACAAAGAAGTTAGCAAACTTTAAAGTTGAACCGTGTGCACTGTCCTTCAATTCTTTTATTACGCTTTCTTATTGTTACAAGCGCAGTTGTTTCTGAAAAGGGAATTTCCAACACTTAGGACAACCTGTATATTCCATAATGGTGGCGCACAGGCGTAAGCCTTCTGCCTACCGGTTTATTTTTATTAGGTTCTCATTGTTGTCATAATGTATAAGTATTCTGTGCAAATAAGTATTTCGGTTAATCTTGTAGTGTTCCAGTTTCTGTATAATATTCATGATAATAAAATAATATTTACCTATACCCTCAGGTCAAGTATGAAACGATTTAGCCCTATTTTTCTAAGAATATTGGTAACGGCAGCATGGTTTTTGTTGGATTATCTCCGTGGATAGATAGGCAGCGTAGCCTAATCTGAAGCGAATTGTTCCTCGCCATACCTTCTTTAGAAATAGCGATCAACGAATACACAATAACAAGTAACTGACCTGCATACCACAGTAGGTATCAAATAATCCTAGAGGATGGAAAGTAGGTATCTATAAAACATAATGCAAACATGTTTGGTCAGAAACAAGTTTTCTGTATGTCACCTCTCTTTCACTTATGCGAGAGGTACTAGAAAAAATATTTTCCGACAATGTTATCCCCCTTACATCAATGAACTTACGTTGTAATGTCTCCAGTGCCTTATGAAAGAATGTTTCCTCTTGACTCTCAAAGAAGTCGTCGAAGGATGCGCTTGGACTATCTTCTGAGTCAAAACGGCAACCTCGAAGATTTTTCTTTAGTAATCTAAACAGATAGAGGTAAGACGGAGCCAAATTCTGACTATACGGAGTATGTTGCTGAAATTGTTCTTAGACGAAAATGGATGAGCCTACATGGTAAACGAACAAAAAAGCTGGATTTATGAGGTTCAATTAAGAGAAACTATTAATAATTTTTGGAAAACCGTGGCTATGTTTTGCAAAAAAACACTAACGGGTTTAGAAAAAGAAGATTTAATAATTATTGAAGGACATACCGAAATTCCATCTTTTCTAAAACCTCTACATCTTCACCATGCGCTAAGCATGCCGGCAATGACGTGAGAGCTTAACAATATTGACCTATGATTGGTTGAAAATCTTCTTGCTACATGTGTTGCCTACCTTATGGAGATTACGCGAGGTATTAAGAGGAAGGTACGTACGTTATGGTGCAACATGTTTTTGAACTAATAAATGGTATTCTGAAAGAAACGTGTTTCCAATGATAGAATGAAACTTTTTTTGGAGATCAAATTATACAATTAATATAATTTTTGAGAAACACCGATGATGGCAGGAATATGATATCTTTCCAACTTTTCGCATTTCAACAAATATGAATGAATGACGCTAAGCTGCTTGACATCTGTTTTTTTGCATGCAATTGTATGTCATAAGAATGTGAGACATTTCTAGGAACAAACGTTTTGAGATGTGGTTTTCTCTGTCAAGGGCCTTAATATCATTATATAGCATTGAATTCCCTGTAGTGTTAACATGTGAGGCCAAAGCACATCTTTCTGGATGCAGTCTGGCATCACTTTTATGTGAGCTTATCCTACCTTTTAACGATCTAGAAGTTTGACCTATATATGAATTGATGGAATAGACAATATAGGATAAACTAGCATACACAGTAAAAAAGTATTGTTCAAAAGTTGAGTAAAACTGATTTGTAGTATCGTCCCTTCGGAGTCTGGATAGATATCTATTGCTTTTATAATATAAACAGTTATTTTTCCCCTCCAAAAAGCTTTGATTCAAAATAATATGAAAAAACGATAATTATAAAAAAGAGTCACTAAAATCGAAGCTAGACTTCCGAAGGAGGACCTTCATTTTGGCGACTTTGGGTATGCAAAAAGAAAACAAGGAGGGCAAAGTGTAGATATTTGGCTGGGGCTCTAATCTCAACTCCACCAATATTTTCCTCATTTCGTATCCTGATTTGTTTTTTATGCTCATGTGTATCCACCCTGTAATTGGCTTTAGCTGTTGGATGATACTAAATAACTTAATATATGAATACATTATTAGAAAAGTAAATATCTGACTAAATAATCAATTTTGCTCCCGCCTACTTAACTTTCGTATTCATAGCGTCTACCGATATGTCTTCCAAGAGAAGTGCAGTCAGTTGGTATGAACAACAATGTTAAGGTCTGCCAGGTGCTATATTTTGTCTTCTAAAGGTTATATTAGTGAACAGCGTTTAGTAGAATTGTAGGCGACGCCCAATAAAGCCACAATAATAAATTCTAGGTTTCACTCCGCCCGTAGTCTAAATTGTATAGTTAGCAAGCATGACTGCCTTTAAGTTACAACTTCGGATGTTGGCGCCTCGAATTTGGAGCACCCTATAATGATACAAATCCAGAATGTCCAATGCGAGCTCTAAATCAATACATTTCACCCATTCTAATTGCCTTCAAACACAATAGAAAAATTTGGGATCATAATCCATATACACGTTGCATCTTATTGGGCTGCGGACAGTCATGCCTATTAACGAGAAAATTTTTAATCTTGCTGTATGAGTTGCTTTCCAGTTTTTGAATAATAACTCTAAATGAATATTAATCTGACGATTCTTTCTTGAGCAACTAGTACTTTCGGAAGATTCCCCAATACCATAATGTTATAAGACATATCTATAAGCCACTGATCCCGTCTACGGTGTGAAGAAAATTTTCTCTGGTAGTGTCTAGAGATGCAATATCAGCGAGGAAATTTTCTTTACAGGCCTACTTGCTTAGAGACCTAGAGCTACTTACAATAGCTCTGAACACGCTCAAAATAACTCTGTACGATTCTAATATTTGAGTTTTCTGTTCCGTATTGTGAGATATGGTGCGTTAAAAGAATATAACGAGTTTCACAAAGTGAAATGGCAAAATCTATAATGGCGAAAGCGAAGGAATACGGTTGGCTCGTAAATTATGCGAATGGATAAATAAATATGCGTCGGTTCAATAATCCGACTCGCATGAGACCAACAAGATGTTAACGCCTGGTTTGTCAGACCAAGATATTAACGATTGATGGGGACGATAGGATATGGATGAGAAATATAAATGATATGTTCGAAGGACCTGCAGGATGGCGGGTGCGGAAAAGACTATTGCTATAAAATAGTTGGGTTTTCATGCAGCTGATCTACTGCAGCTGGGGAAGACCTCCCAGGGATGTCTTGCGGTTGTTGATGCGGTGAAGAAAATGCGGAAAATCAACATATAATGCGACCTACCATGGGGAATTAACCCAGCATGCGGTCTTACCACGTAACCCTCTCTTCTTTTCTAACTAGCAAGTGTAAGGAAAGAAGGAATGGCGCGGGAAAAATATTATAGGAAAGTGACGCAAACGATTATGTTATAGACTACACTAAGAATTTCTGTACCTGGAGCTAGGAAAGGTACTTATAAATTTTTGAATTCGTATGTTGTTGTCAATTTAAAAGCTGATATATAGGTATTCATGCGAAGTGAGCATTGAGTCAGCATGATTGACTCGTTTATTTGCTTAGGAGTCTTTTTTACAGGGGAACGCTTTTATACCCACTCTCAGGCAGAAACGTTCGACAGTATTGCCTTACCGGCCCTTCCTGCCCGAAGTGTGAGATTCTCCACGAATGGCATATTCACTAAGGCCCGTATCGTCAGTCGTCCCTACAATTGTAGGGCGCCTTTATGGCCTCCTTGGTTGTCATAGTTTTCTGCTTCTCCGTGTCAGAACTCTATTTTGAGGTTATGTTACAAACATTTATTTGCATCAAATTGTGCTTGCTTTTAAGTTATATCATGTTTTATCAGCCTGAAATTCCCTACAATTTAAAAAGAAAACATATCTTCACAATAGGAGAGCGCTGACGCTGACACGGGAGAAGTGTAATCTAGAAATTTTTGAAGGAGAGAAAGGAAGATGACAATCAAGGAGGCCATAAACGCGCCCTACAATTGTAGGGACGACTGACGATACGGGCCTAAAACCCCGCAGTCTTTGACCACACATCCCACCACGGTGATGCTTGCAGCATTTCTTCATAGTGGGTAGCGTTACGCTAGGTTCTCATATCGAAGGTATTAGTGATCTATTCTCTATCATACACATACATGCTTTCATACATATGTAAGTAATATAGAGACACCTACTATTGGATCCTTAGTCAATTTTTGTTCTCCCGTACCTTACTCAGCATCATTCGGCTCACTATTGGTTGAATATCAACTCATTCTCCTTTGCGTATATGCGGGGCAAAATTCTCAGCAGTGAGCCTTTCGCCGAGCGTCAATCCGAGCTGTGTCTGGTAGTCAACCCACCTGGAGTAGGTAATTAGGAGTATTCTAATCTCCAGTGCAATTAACGCAGTTCGCGTACTCTCTCTTTCCTATTCTCTTCAGGTAACTGTCAAAACAACTATGTCCTGTGAGGAACTGTTCGGTACAGTAATCTATCCGCACTGCTCCTTTGTCAATCCAGGTTTTAATATCTAGAATCAGCACCATGGCCAGTTGTATCCCATGCCATCTGACAAGGAGCACCTCTCTTTCAACTCTTGTAGCTTGGCGGGGTACTAGCCACCACCAGCAGTGCACCGATTGACATCGTTCTGTAAGCGCATGCCACGCGCATCGCTACTTTTTGCTGACTCAATATTTGCTGCCTAAATTTGTTTTTGCTCAAGGCCTTGTTATATATATGGGGGCTCCGTACAGCATAATCGGAACTGACACCCCTGCCAAAATCCTGCGCCTCTCACCACTGGACCCTGCGTCAGATGTCATTAGCCATGTCAGAAATACAACGGTCTTATTCACCTTATCACTGTAGCGCCTTATATGTTCAATCACTTTCAGATCTTGGTCAAGCCATACACCCAGATACTTAATGGCATTTTGGTTCCGAATCTTGATTTGTGAAAAGGTATACTTGAAGATGAGCATAGCTTACAAAAAAAGACAATTTATTGAACGAAACTGGCATAAATACACAAACAAGAAAACACGTAAATGTATAAACACACTAAAAAATTCTCACAAACACACTAAGTCAATTCATGAAGCAAATACACTTCTGAGCTCAATATCATTGATCTGCCATTGCCTATCTAACGCCCAGGTTGATTTTGATTTCCTGAATACACTCATTATTAAGTTTACCGACAACTTCAAATTAATGTTTGCTATACTAAAGGGTCCTCGATAGTTAAAAAATTCTACCAGATATACCGACCTTTCCTGAAATTGTATAAGGCATCAACCTCTTCAGTAAAATTGTGCATCCCTTTGACAAAACGCTTACTAGGTTTGGTCAGCTGTAATACAAAGTATGTAGTTGAAATTGACATATTATCCAATAGTTCGGCAAATTTTGAGAAAGGAAATACTGTGTAACAAAGCCGTTAATTCTTATCTTATACTTCATCCTTCGATTTTGGAACAAGGCCTTTATTTGACGTTCCACCAGGTCCAACTCCTCTGCCACTTGGATGCGACTTGGTCGGCTCAGGTACGTATTAGTGTCGAATTGTTTCTCCAGCTGTAGTTGGTATGGAGTGTAGGCTGTCCTGACTCGCTTAGACTTGGAAGCATCTGGAAGAAACCAAAATGACTTTTAGTTTGTTTAAAATACATTGTCATATCCGAAAAATTCTCATTATATTTGTTTGGAAGAATAGGCTGATTAGCGCTTTGAGATGACTGTACCATGAAAATTCTAGCCGCCTGCAGCCAGTCTGCTCGCGTAATCTCAGCAACCGGTGCGTCGATTTTAATAAATTTTCTCTCTACTGTTTTGTTTGCTATATTTTGGAAAATCGGTCGCACAGTAATGTTCTTAGAAGCCCAAAAAAATGATTATTTTATGGAAGGTGATTTAGAAAATACATCTATATTATGGGTGGATTAATATACTGGATAGCACTGCGTATTTTCATTAACTATCAAGTTGCGCATGAAGTTGTCAAGCTCATGTACATTTTTGTTGATCTTGAATTTGTATATAGGTATAGTGGGTTAAATAGTGTTTAATTTGGTATTGCTTAGCATTATAGTGATGACTCACCTGTTGATTTATAGGGCATGTCAAAACTGTAGAGGAGTTTCTCCTGGAACGCAACTTGGACCTCTTGTGATGAAATTGAATAACTTTGTTGCTGGTCGTTTGCCCATTTCGTTTGTTGCTGGTTGACTTGTAGATTCTGATGGTGGAAAAAAATACTACTAGTTATAATCTTTGAAGTAAAATACCACTATCGAAATAAGTCTGCACAAAGTGGTCGATACCGGTAATAGATGACACTTTGAGCAGCTCGTTGTGCTCCTTAAGACCAAATACAACAAATAAATTTGCCATCTACTCTCCAGAAAGTTGTTTTCCACATTATAGTTCTTCGGACAAGCGTCTCCACCAGCTAGAAAACAGTAGTTTTCATCCCCGTAGTCAGCAACAGGCACAACAGCATTATACGGTGACGGCGACTGATTTGATCTCGACAGGCTAGGTCACCATGGAGGTACTGGATTCATAATCGTGTAATGGATGACAAAATTTGTAAAAAAGTATTTTTAGCTGCTGTCAAAACAGTTCACTGGCTTTTTTGTTGTTTTCACGGTAAACTCATGTTTTGTTGGAGTACCTTTAGGACTTGATTGTGTACACAGGTTGCCACAAAATTGAAAGGGCATACATAAAATAATAAAATAAAACATGAAAATATATTTTTCAAAAAATGCTTTTATTTAACTGTTAAAACGAACTGAAAATTGACAATCTTTTATCGATTGGAAATATGACGTTTTATCCTTCTTAACGTTAAAACGCCTCTATGTCACAAGTTTTCAAAAAAGCGTATTACCTTTTAATATCAAGAGGAGAAAAGAAAGTGATACGGTTTTATTTTAAAACTTGAAACTTGACTATGGTTTAAACGTTGAGAGGTATAAAACGTCATACTTCTGATTGGAAAAAAAATGTTGGTAACAAATAATAAAAACTGGTTTTTGGACATATGTGTTTTCAATTATAATAAATATAAATAAATGTATTTATTACATTTTACCACTTATATCGAGAACCTGGGGTTGTGAATTTGCGTCGATTATATCAGTCTGGACATTACTTGGACCTGATATTCCGCTTATTTCAGGTTGGATCTTACTTGCGCCTGAGGAAACTTGGTCTCGGTTTGATTATGAGGCATTTCTTGTCGTAGATATAAGTGAAATTTCAACTTAGTTGGTTGGGGTCAAAATTCAGTTTCGAGGTTTGTCCCATACATACTAGTATACGAACAAACAAGTTAGGTGAAATTAAGATGTGTAAAACATACGTATAACGGCATCCGTTCTTCAAAACTACCTTTTACTTTTCAGAATTCAGTAGACACTTTAGAGGAATCTGATGTGAAGTGATCCACAACGGAGCAATCTATCAAAGTGTTACTTTTAATGTCCGGTGCTGATGTTTTACCTCCGCATATCGTCGTTAGTTGAATTAAAGGCATGCTGACTGCCTAGAAAAATACATCTTATGCAAAATATTCGACATCAAAAGAGATTTTGATTCTTCGTACTATTAGATAAACTGAATTAACGAGTGGATCTATCGAACGGCTACCTGAGAGTTAATAGTCAAGTTTCCATTACTGATGCTCAACATTTTTCAATGGTAACTGTACACACTGTACAGCACGCACTTCAGGAGAGTAGTTAGAGGTTCTAAATCCCTTCCACCTTGCTTGACCAACGTCCAGAAATACCGACAAATACAAATTTTGGAAAACAGCTTAATGAAAAATAACTTTAACAAACCTTGCAAAATACAAATTATTCCTTTTCTATACTTTTGTTGCGACACTGGAACCAAGCAGTATGAAGTGTCTGTCAATAGTGAATGGTCCCTCATACATAAATGTGATTGATTTCATCATGATCTACACAATAAGATGAATTCAATATTATAGTTAGGTAGGTTATTGCCTGAGAAGACAACAACTTTGGAGTCGACTATACCTTCTTTCTAAAGTGAAGCTGTCGCCAAGTGGGAACCTTAAATGGAGGGGTAGCAAAGAGCTTAAAGCGATCTTATGATCGATCTTTCAACTGTTAGTATTACTGAAATGAACGAATTCATGCAACAAAGTGTTATCTCTGACGCATTACCTAACCAAAGACATACAGGCCGTCCGTACCTAAATGAATATACTCGTAGTTCATGTAATAGTAAGCATATTTGCTTAGAAACACATGTACTAAAACTTCAAGATGCCAGCTACTAAGTTTCGAAATAAAATATAATATTGGGGCTGTGCGATCTACATCAGGTGCTGCGACGGGCAGCTGTTTATTTACAAATTGATCTGGGAAAAACTGGAATTGTCACACCTCCTTTGAAATAACGGAGTTGTTGATTTGATGACGCCTTACGGTGAGTGGACTATTTAGATCGTAGACTCAGTAAGAGGCCTCCTTTCATAACCCCAAATGTCGAAAATTTAAGAAGAAGTTGACGAACTTTACATTTCTACAGTGAGCACTTTTCTTCAATTCCTTTTTCACTCTTTTGTTGTTTTTTAGCGCACATTAGCTTTAGCGTTACAAACGCAGTGTTTCCCAACTCCTGGGGAACCCTGTATATCCGTTAATGCCACTGGTGCAAGCCTTCTGCAGGTATCTGTTGTTTATTAGGCTCTCATTGTTATCACTATGTTTCAGTATTCTGTGCAAATAGGTATTTCTGTTAATTTTCGGGTATAAGTTTCTGTAAAATATTTATGATAATAAAATAATATTCACCCCTCAGGTTTTCAACAATTTAACCCTACTTTTCTAAGAATATTGGTATCGGCAGTACGGTTTTTGTCGGATTATCTTCTAGTGCAGGTAGGCAGCATAGCCTAATCTGTACGGAATTAGTCCTCGCCATTTCATACCTTCTTTAGAAATGGCGATCACTAAATTAACATTAACAGGTCTATGAACTGGATGCCACTGTAGGTATGTTTACTTTCCTACTACTATAAAAAATGTTTTCGGTAATTTTAAAACGTTCTCCGACGGCTGCGTTTAGTCTATCGTCAAAGCGGCGTCCGCGTTGATTTTTCTTTAGTAACACAGCCAAGTTCGGACCGTATAATTTTGGCAGCCTTATACAAGGTCGCAATATTATGCAGCAGAAATACTTCTCTATCGGAAAATTGGTTCCTGACTGATCACGTAGATTTTTCAGTGTTAACTGGTGTATGTTTTTGGCATACTTTTAATGGGAAAGATGCCCATGTTGATCCGAAAAGCTATTGCCGCCGATTTTCCTTGTTGGGTTGTAGAGGCACTTTATAGACCCACCGCTTGGATTCCGTTTTAGTATCAGAATCCGACTGATGCACCCTAGTCCCGTCGCCCATCACATTTTGTGCCAAAAATCAAGATCGTTGGTCAAGGTTTCCAGATGACTTTCTGGTTTTTCCAGGTTGCGCAATTTTTGTTGAGGTCTGACACCTTATTTATGCTCAAATTGTTTTGTTATATTCAATGCGAAGCTAATAATATAGACCTTCATACGACGATGTTCGACAAGCATGACTGCTTGAGCCATTTCATCATTTGTTGCTATATATGGATCTTTCACTTCTGTTATCGTCTTTTATGGAATCACTATCTCATCGGAACTCACTCACACACTGAAGATGTCCCTGTTTTATCAGAAATTTTATGACACTGGAATACTGTAACTTTGTGTTACTTATCTTTCCTGACAATTCGATTTATAAAGTGGAAACTAATTATTTGACTCATTATGCTTGTTCGTTTCAATTGTTTGTTTCATGACTAGGTAGAATTCTTTCCTCGTATCCCTCATAAGTGAAGGGGGACGACCTACTGAGTATGTTTGTGACTCGTTGAGGAATAGGAAGCATAGACCATCATTCTGCTGTCGGAGTGTTGTAGAGCTGTTGTAGAGGAGAGCGGAGCTCATAAATTAAATATTAGAAGTTATCCTATCAAACTTTATAACTGCCGTAGAATCAGTATCCAAACATCTAGTCACTCGCTGGAAGTGATTGGTGACAAAATCGAAAAAGGAAAACGGAATCAGTATTCTCCACGGGCATGTGCCGCTACAATGTCTCGAGGCACTTGGCATCAAAAGTAATAAAAATGTAGTTCTAAATAAGACAGCAAATATATCTTGACGCTGTTTTTTTATTTAGTGAGACGCATGTCTAGACACTTTTGTATTATATTCCAATAACAGAAGTCTAAAACTAGGAACATGTTTGATCAATTTGATCTAAGCTTACTTTTGTTGTTTCGTGATTGTTTCATCTTATGCCCAAAATACATAGTATCACATTTTTGAAGTTATAACACTTATTCGCCAAGTGGGATATTGTAAAATCAGATCACCACTATTCACCATAGGTTTAACTAACTTGCTATCTGCGTCAGTATAAAAGCTCAGAGTCCTAGAAGCTGGACTAGTTATCTTTAGTATAAGATTATATTATTTTTTTTATTTAGTCATGAATACAATCAAAAAGTAACGCTCAGACAGTGTGAGCTGCCGACATCCCGTACTATCGCAATGTGGTCATCATACATTTTTTTTTTTTGTAAAATAACTAGCCTTTGTGACTTAAACAAATTTCAGCCAAAGCAATAAAATAATAAATAAAAAATCTATTTCAACCCTTAGGGAATGGAAGTCCTTAATGAAATGTACCTCGGCAAATTACTTGCATATTAAGGCAATTTATGGGCCATATTAAATTTATTGAGTGAACTTCTAAATGGGTAGCAGCCAAAAACCAGATGATAAAAAAATCGATTTCAACCCTTAGGGAATGGGTGTCCTCAATGAAAGGTATCTCGAAAAATTATTCATATATTAAGACAATTTATAGCCCAGATCAAATTTATTGAGCGAACTTCTAGATGGGTAGCAGCCAAAAACCAGATAATAAAAAATCAATTTCAACTCATAGCGAATGGGTGTCCTCGATGAAAAGTATCTCGAAAAATTATTCATATATTAAGACAATTTATGAACCAGATCAAATTTACTGAGCAAACTTCTAAATGGGTAGCAGCCAAAAACCAGATAATAAAAAATCGATTTCAACCCTTAGCGAGTGGGTGTCCTCGAATGAAAAGTATCTCAAAAAATTATTCATATATTAAGACAATTTATAGCCCAGATCAAATTTACTGAGCGAACTTCTAGATGGGTAGCAGCCAAGAACCAGATAATAAAAAATCGATTTCAACTCTTAGCGAATGGGTGTCCTCGATGAGAAGTATCTCAAAAAATTATTCATATATTAAGACAATTTATGAACCAGATCAAATTACTGAGCAAACTTCTAAATGGGTAGCAGCCAAAAACCAGATAATAAAAAATCGATTTCAACCCTTAATGGAATGGGTGTCCTCGATGAAAAGTATCTCGAAAAATTATTCATATATCAAGACAGTTTTGGAGCTAGATCAAATTTACTGAGCGAACTTCTAAAGGGGTATCAGTCAAAAACCAGATAACAAAAATCGATTTCAACTCTTAGCGAATGGGTGTCCTCGATGAAAAGTATCTCGAAAAATTATTCATATATTAAGACAATTTATGAGCCAGATCAAATTTACTGAGCAAACTTCTAAATGGGTAGCAGCCAAATACCAGATAATAAAAAATTGATTTCAACCCTTAGGGAATGGGTGTCCTCGATGAAAAGTATCTCGAAAAATTATTCATATATTAAGACAATTTATGAACCAGATCAAATTACTGAGCAAACTTCTAAATGGGTAGCAGCCAAAAACCAGATAATAAAAAATCGATTTCAACCCTTAATGGAATGGGTGTCCTCGATGAAAAGTATCTCGAAAAATTATTCATATATCAAGACAGTTTTGGAGCTAGATCAAATTTACTGAGCGAACTTCTAAAGGGGTAGCAGCCAAAAACCAGATAATAAAAAATCGATTTCAACACTCAGGGAATGAGTGTCCTCGATGAAAAGTATCTAGAAAAATTATTCATATATTAAGACAATTTATAGCCCATATCAAATTTATTGAGCGAACTTCTAAATGGGTAGCAGCCAAAAACCAGATAATAAAAAATCGATTTCAACCCTTAGCGAGTGGGTGTCCTCGATGAAAAGTATCTCAAAAAATTATTCATATATTAAGACAATTTATAGCCCAGATCAAATTTACTGAGCGAACTTCTAGATGGGTAGCAACCAAAAACCAGATAATAAAAAATCGATTTCAACCCTTAGCGATTGGGTGTCCTCGATGAAAAGTATCTCGAAAAATTATTCATATATTAAGACAATTAATGGGGCAGTTCAAGTTCAATGAGCAAACTTCAAAGGGGATAGCAGACAAAAATTAATTAACCAAAAATCTATTTCTGCAACTGGGGAATGATTGCCAGCGATGATATGTATCTAGAAAAATTACTCATAATAGTAACAATCAGCGGGCTATGTTACTAAGCAAATATCTAGATTTGTGATCTGTAGAAACGCCGCAGAAGAAGCAGATATGGGACATGTTGGAACTATTACGGATTAGCATCCATTTATAATTTATCCGTTGTTTATCTATGTCGACTATATCGTTGAGATTTCCATGTTTGCAGATTTTTGGAAAAATGTATTATATAAACTCCACAATTATACCCGTCCCTTTGTAGTATGTGGTGTGGTGTATCAAAAAGGAATTCTGTTATATTGATGTTTTTAAATTTCAGAAATTTTGTCAGGTATATGTCAGTCTATAAATGTCACAGTAATTTTTGGCAAGAGACAACATCAACAAGACATAATAGTTATTCCTTAGAATAGACAGAAGTATCGCGTCTTTGGCAAATGTAATGACCGCTGCAAACGAAGGAGGGAAATTATTATCTGAAAATACGACCGAGGACTTTGCCACAGATATTATTTGAAAACGGCTACCACTGAACTTATTGATCAAATGTAGGCAAAGATCTCCAGCAAAATTACTCAGATATCGCTTGTTGTCTGAAATAGAAAAATCATCTTGTTATAGTTCCTTGATGGAAAAATGCAAATCTTGATTTATCAAAACCACATATCCCCTTTTATTTAGCAACTGCCAGTAGTAATATATATTTCTCTACTAAACCTTTGGCCATAAATTTGAGGGGTTCAGTGGTCATCCATTTTCTTTCTGAGGTGGAGAATTTAGAAAAACCTAAAGTTGCCGGAAGAAAGTCATAACATTCCAGAATGCTTGACTTCGATATACTCGGTTAATTTTGATACCTTTGAAGGTATATGTAAATAGATCACACCAAGACCTGCCCGTTATTTCCAGTAATCCTTGTATCTGTAGTGGTAAGTGTGATTTATCCTCATCGATTCGCCATTCTTATGCAAGAAATCGAACTCGTACTGATGGGGAGATAAACTTCGCGCATTGTAGGGGCATTTCACAGCCATTTTCTCCTCGTACAATTGTATAGCACCTTTTTCGTATTTTCAGCCATGAAGGGTAGCTGGCGTTTTGATGTCATTGCCATTAATAAGTGGTGATAATATTGCTGAACGAGCTTTCATTTTTTACCTTTGCAAATCAGCCCAAAATAAGACGACGTGACAGGTTCTTTTTTTCTCTCCTCCTTCCACTTCAGCAGCCGCTCTGAAGTCTGGTATCATTTTCAATGGCTCACATTTCTTGTGATGACAGTGCGTTGGATACTAGATACTGTTCACAGCGTTGATATAAATTCATGGAATTTGACAACAGGGAAACCTTTGCGGTGCAAATATTACACTTAAAATGAAATGTTTCTATTTCAATGTTATTTAGTTGTAAGCAGTATTCATGCACCCACCTGTTGCACATATCACACTGAATCCAGTTAGTGATTGCTTCGGTAGTGCCACGGCCACAATACACGCATTGTGTGAAGTCGTCATCATTCTCTGGAAAGATACAGTTTTGAAGAACAGCTGGTTGGTCGTAGTTGGGCTTTTTGACAGGTTTTTGCAGATAACTACAGGTGAAATAAGACTTATTACTTCCTTTCCGCTTATTCCATATCTCTTGGGAAGTTTTTTCATCGGTTTTATCTTTCGATGTTGCCAGACGTGATTTAGACATTTGCGGACTATTCTCGTTGCTCAAGGATAGAGTATCTTTCCTCAGTATCCGGACGAATTCTAAGCATTTGAGATTCCGCTTACTTTGCATTGAGTTGTGCTTTAGTTGACCGAAGTAGTTCTCCACCTATGAGTTACTCAACAATTTTCCGCTTTGAATCATAAGCTTAGACCACAGAGGACAGTACGGAATATACTTTTTTGCTGCCACTTGTAACATGTCCTGATTAAAATATTTTTTTTCCGTTTTCGAAGATGTGGATGTTATTTTTTTAATTAAATTTAGATACCGTTTATAAAAGGGACTGGAGGAATAAAGCGTGTCGCTAGAGACGTGCCAATCAATTTCAATATCATTCTGAATGTGGATAAATTTCCTAACATTGTCTGATTGAGGTTTGTTCGCTGTTGCTTGAAAAAATGTTTTTGACTGCTGAACCAGATGATTGTGATACTGCGTTCCCAAAGGGATATAAACATTGCAAACGAAATCATCAAAATCACTAGTATTTTCAATAGACAGTCCGGCTACTATCATATCCTTAAAATACCTGCGCTGTGCGTCACTTTTTGCTATTTGGTCTACATCATGGCAAATCATTTTTATAAAAAGACACTATTTGTGTGGCAGCGCCGGTCGCCGGCTTTCGCTGATTGTTTTTTCTAGCCTCCACGTAGGGTGCATCAGTCCGGCGGCGGCAATGCGATATGGCGCCTGTCTGAGAAAGCACGGCGACGGACGCTGCCAAACCTAATGGATCTCCCACAGATATGAGTTTATACGGTTTATATGTATGCCAAGCTTGACTTGCCCCGTAATATTGAGATTTGCTTTGCGGGTTTGTGCATTGCGTTTAACATTGACCGTTGAGAATTTTATCTGTTTCAGTTAGTCTTACTATTTTTGTTTGATGTGCCGTTAATATACTACATTTTTATATTATCTTAATAATCTTGTCAGATCTCCACTATAAAGATTTTATTGTCCTAGTTCAGCGAATAAGCTTTTCCTAGACGCATTGTCAAGGTCTAAGTTTATTTATATTAAGGCGTTTGTTTGCCCACGCAAAATTCACTAATATTTTGCACACGCCATTGCGTCAGTATATCTATTAATATAAATTCCATCCTTTTTCTTGCTGTACTTTGCACCTAATAACGTTAATCATGGTGAAAGAATACAATTCTCGCACAAAAATTCAAAAACTTTTACGAGTATGTGCCGAGTTGCAAAAAATCCAGCCCGAACTGACTGCCACTTCAATTATTTCGCAATGATGGGTACGAAATATGGCTTCTCTAGCATGATATGTACGTATATGATAGTTAGAACTACAGATTTTAGAAGATACCTAAACACATTTCTGAGCGGTTTACCAACTACTAACGAAGCATCTGATTTAGGCATGAATGAATTGTACTCTGCCCATCTCGATCTGAATTTAAATGTCACTGGTGTGTGCAAGTCCTATAAAAACCGTGGATCTGTATATGAAGCTCTATGTAATAAGCTATCAATAAAGGACTCATTGAAAAATCGAAGAAAACTATATCGTTTGTGGAACGCGATAAAAGATGGAAAACTTATTTTATGTTATGGGCAAACGACGAGCGACGCTCAAAATAGACCTTCTACAGGAAAAGAGGTACAGCCGCACGATCAAGATATGTGCACCCCAGAGCCGTCATTGGCTTTAGAAGAATTGACCGAAACATCTGCTACCCATGCTGAAAAAGAGACCCATTTTTTCATTAACTGGTTTTTGGCTGCTGCCCATTTAGAAGTTCGCTCAGTGGATTTGATCTGGCCCATACATTGTCTTAATATATGAATAATTTTTCGAGATACTTTTCATCGAGGACACCCATTCCCTAGGGGTTGAAATTGATTTTTTATTATCTGGTTTGTGGCTGCTACCTCTTTAGAGAAGTTCGCTCAGTAAATTTGATCTGGCCCATAAATTGACTTAATATATCAATAATTTTTCGAGATACCTTTCATCGAGGACACCCATTCCCTAAGGGTTGAAATTGATTTTTTATTATCTGGTTTGTGGCTGCTACCTCTTGAGAGAAGTTCGCTCAGTAAATTTGATCTGGCCCATAAATTGTCTTAATATATGAATAATCTTTCGAAATACTTTTCATCGAGGACACCCATTCCCTTAGGGTTGAAATTGATTTTTTATTACCTGGTTTTTGGCAGCTACCCCATCAAAAGTTCACTCAGTAAATTTGATCTGGCCCATAAATTGCCTTAATCTATGAATAATTTTTTGAGATACCTTTCATTGAGGAACTCCCATTCCCTAAGGGTTGAAATCGGGTTTTTTATTATCTGGTTTTTGGCAGCTACCCCTTCAGAAGTTCGCTAAGTAAATTTGATCTCGTTCGTAAATTGTCTTAATATATGAATAATTTTTCGAGATACTTCTCATCGAGGACAGCCATTCCCTAAGGGTTGAAATTGATTTTTTATTATCTGGTTTTTGGCAGCTACCCCTGCAGAAGTTAGCTCAGAAAATTTGATCTGGCCCATAAATTGTCTTAATATATGAATAATTTTTTGAGATACTTTCCATCGAAGACACCCATTCCCTAAGGGTTGAAATCGATTTTCTATTACCTGGTTTGTGGCTGCTACCTCTTTAGAAGTTCGCTCCGTAAATTTGATCTGGCCCATAAATTGCCTTAATATATGAACAATTTTTTGAAATACTTTTCATCAAGGACTCCCATTCCCTAAGGGTTGACATCGGGTTTTTTTTATCTGGTTTTTGGCAGCCACCCCTTCAGAAGTTCGCTCAGTAAATTTGATCTCGCCCATTAATTGTCTTGATATATGAATAATTTTTCGAGATAATTTTCATCGAGGTCACCCATTCCCTAAGGGTTGAAATTGATTTTTTATTATCTGGTTTGTGGCTGCTACCTCTTTAGAAGTTCGCTCAGTAATTTTGATCTGACCCATAAATTGTCTTAATATGTGAATAATTTTTCGAGAATCTTTTCATCGAGGACACCCATTCCCTCAGGGTTAAAATTGATCTTTTATTATCTAGTTTTTGGCAGCTACCCTTTCAGAAGTTCGCTCAGTAAATTTGATCTGGCCCATAAATTGTCTTAATACATATATGAATAATTTTTTGAGTTACTTTCCATCGAGGACACCCATTCCCTAAGGGTTGAAATCGATTTTTTATTATCTGGTTTGTGGCTGCTACCTCTTTAGAAGTTCGCTCAGTAAATTTGATCTCGCCCATAAATTGTATTAATATATGTATAATTTTTCGAGATACTTTTCATCGAGGACACCCATTCCCTCATCGTTAAAATCGATTTTTTTATTATCTGGTTTTTGACTGCTACTCCTTTAAAAGTTAGCTCAGTAAATTTGATCTGGCCCATAAATTAATATGTGTGTAATTTTTCGGAATTCATTTCATTGAGGACACCCATTCCCTAAGGGTTGAAATCGATTTTTTATTGATCTTGTTTTTGGCTCCTACCGCTAGAAGTTCTCTCAGCTACTTTAGTCTGGCCGTTATTGTGTCGCTAACGAGTGTTATAAGAGCATATTATTCCTTCTGACCGACGCCTCTGTTCGTTCGGGTAACTTCGAGAAATTGTCTGCTGGAATTTGGCTGCTAACTTCACACCGGTAAGGAGCGAACGCAAACGAATGCAACGGAAACCGTTGGCTTATGTTGGCTCGCGCCGTACACACCGATTCAAACATCTCAAAATCTGTAACCACATGTGCCTTGGCTTGCGTTGGAGTCTGGGTCTGTACGCGGCTTTACTCTCAAACTGCAAGATAACTGCGGCTGCCAGCAGTAGCTACTTTTCGTATTCCCAATACCTTGGTTTGAGTATTCAGAACCTAATGGAAGATTAGTGTTCCTCGTAATCCTAATATGCACCTATTTTCTCATTTGAAATAAATTTAGACGGTTCTTTGAGGTTATACTGTGGATCCTTTTCGCATGACTATTACAGGTTAACTGCCTAATCATACAAGGAGGGGATACTTGTCTCGTCTATAACCTGTGAACTACTGCTCGGATTTTGATGGAATGTTTACGCAAGGTAACAACTATAGCAAGGACCGAAAAGCTTCGTAGCTGTTGGAAATATGTCGAGTGCCAATACGGAAAGGAATAAAAATAGGGCAGACTTTGTTATTCGATGTTGAAATTGGAGGGCGTCACAACCTCGGTATCTTTAAGATATATTTCACACATTGAAGAATATGTTCTCGTCTCAGGATGGATCAAAGTGAACAGTATTGCGAAACATGTATATTTCTGGCTTGGCAGTTTTCACAGATATTGCTTCCGGCACATCGGTATCGCGCGGATATCTAGTGTACGATGGGACTTACGTTAGCGCATATGCCGGGGGTAATCTAGTAGTAGTTGCTTCTAAAGCCGTCTATCCAAGAAAGACACTAAACCAGCACACAAGCAGCGCGTGATCAGTGCATGGGCAGCATGTTGATATTTTCCAAGAAACGGGGAGAATAACTGTTATTGGGCAGAATCAGTCGAGGACATATACCAGCGCCAGCGTTCCGGGATCTGATCATGTGAAATTGCGTGAATATGTTCGGGTCTGGTTTCTTTCTTCGATAGATGGAATATATAGAGTATGGTGCAGATTAGAGTTATTCCACCCTAATGGGCATTTGTTAGAGGTGTACTTCCAGCTTGCAAACTTTTCCCCCAATTCTCACAATGCAGGAATTCGAATCCCAGAACTTTCGCATTTCTCTAGCAGAAACAAGCTTGAAGAACTTCAAAATTAACTTCATCTTTCTATAGCTCAACTTCGACATTTCTTGTTGTTCAATTCGCTAATCTTTTTTCAATCCTGGTTCATTAAGGCTTCATGTAATTCCCCCTGTAGTGTTTCCGAGATCGGTGTAGTACATTCCCGATTTGCAAACTTCCGGCGTCGTTACGGACTGGAACACCTTGAGCATCTGGTCTTGACAGAGATCGTTTGGATCCCCCGACTCCTTGCCTTGAGGAGCAACCTCCACCTTATTCTGGAGGTGATCCCGCTACTCCGTCGTGATTGATGACCCTTGAGTCAATCTCTCTTTGTTAAAAATGGTTGAACTCCATAACACATCTCAAGTGACCGAGGAGTTTATGCATCCTTAAACATTGCAACTTCCGGACGAGTACAATAGCATGCCCCTTTCTCTACCAATTTTTATTACCCTTCTGGACGTATACCTTTCCATTGAGGTTCCAATGCCATGTGTAGATATAGAAATCCAATCCACCAACTCTACCAAACCAGCATTCAGTCCATCACATGTTACTACACGCGATTCGATACAAAGGGCATCCACTGAGAGCAATACTCAGACCTGATGTTGAGACATTCAAAATAAGCTGCAAGCATATCAACAGCTTCATCCTTCATAAAACGCACTTGGTAAGCACAAAAATTGCTCAAAGTAACGCGAAACTGTTGACAATTTGAGGACTACTTTTTTTTTGGTTAGGTATTTGTTTTGCTGAAATTCATGGCCGGCTTTTTTTAATTGTCTTTTTCCTATATACCCATAATGAATATGCATTTAAGCAAAAAATGTTCCTTTTTGTTATTCGAATTACTTGCTTATCTTTTAGCAATATTTTGTGATATTTTCAAAAAGGGTGATCTTTTTCTGATTAATAAAAAGGAATTAAAGAAAAATTAGTTTAAAAAAGTAAAAATTCAAGCGGCCACAACAAAAAAAGCTTCAAATATCATAACATTTGCATCCCAAGGACAGCTCTTTTCAACTAGCCCAAGTTTGTTCAGCTACGTCGTTTTGAAGACCAGGTATTTTTTGATAGGTTAGTATAAAGAAATCCACAGAAACATCGCTTTTTAGATTCAAATTTGCAGCTACGCCACTTAGCGGCCATTTCAGAATCTTGAAAATATTTTCAGGTTTTTCTCTTGGCCGTTTTAGTAAAAACTATTTTTGTCGCAAGCATCTACAATGTATAGATTCTCAGATACAGTTCTTAGTTGGTCACCCTATGCAGACAAGAGTTAGGCCTTGCCAACAAAATAACGGAAAATGTTTGATTTAACTCTGCTTATTTGTGATTATTATTGTTACTGCTATCAAAAACATTTTTTTCTTGTTCAGGTTTCGCCATACTTTTTTATTTCCTTATAATTTTCGATCCAACAACAAATTCCTGGCGGCCAACTAAGGAAATACATATCTAAATTTAGGGCTGAAAAAATCGAAGTAGGTAATGGAAGTCAAACGAAAAGCCCTGGGAAAGTGACAATGACAATATGTAATTAACTTTCATTTAATTTCAAGGCGTAACTGAGAAATTCCGTTTTATTAACTAAGATTTGGCAATGTCAATGTATGATGTACTATACGTTTCTGGAATCAGTGTTGAAATCTCTATTCATCTGTGCAAAAATCCTAGATGACGTCCGTAAGAAATAATAAAGTTGATGCTGGAGGACAAGTTCATTGAAATTCTAATTACGCGATCTTCTAAAGGAGAAAAGGTGGCAATGTTATTGTGCAATTTATTTTGAATTGCCACTAAAAATAAATTCAGAAAAAAATTAGGAAGTACTTTGAATTTCGAAGCTTTCTAAGCAGCGTTTTGTTAGCTACCTAAAAACCCAACTTTGCCCCATTTAAGCAAGTTCGTATCTCTTACTGTTTCCGAAGTCCCAATGCTGAGGGTTGAATTTGGAACACCCGGTATATTACACAGTGATTTTTTATGATACATCACATTACATGTTAAAATTTTGACCGCATGTTACCTTTTGTTTCAGAGCAAACTGAGAGCCGAAATTTTCTATATGCAGATTCTGAAGTTGCAGCCCTTTTAATTCTTGTGATCAGTTTACGGCACATTTTCATCATTTTGAGTCTATGATCACGTTATAAATATCATGAAAAGTTCTTACAATTTCAGAGTTTTGAAAGGTAGTCAAGACTTTTTTAAATTTCGTTTATTTGTTTAGGAGTGAAAAGGTATATTTAAAGGCGAGCATAATGTACAAGAAGGTCAGTTTATTGCTTGTAAGTCATATAAATAATAATAACTGTGTAAATATTACACGAATTAGAAGACACACGTGCAGGTATAAGTACAAAATGTTTACAGAGACATTAAAGTGCAATAAATTTACAAACTAGTTAGACTGTTCCAAAAAATGATTTGGCTGTTACGAAGTTGTTGACAAGGGAGGAGTGTTGAGGTAAAGCTGATACGATGGCTTATTCTGCACAGGTTGTCCGAGGTGCACAGGATAGTAGTTGAATGTATTCTGTGGCATGTGTTGATGATAGTTCGTATCTACTTGAACACGTAGATACAAACTATACTGGTTACACAAAACGTTATCTTCCCTTTGGTACCTCGGTAGCGTTTGTGGCATGCACGTTTTATGGCTATCCTGTCCCCTTTCTACCAAATGGTGTTTAGGCCTCACCGTTTGGATTCCCGATTTGCTAGTTGGACTAGGAGTGGACGAAGGGAATGTCCGAGTAGGCTCTTTGTTCCTGTTCCTTTTTGAACTTCATCCTCTGATTTTGAAACCGTACTTTGACTTGGCGTTCTGTCAGGTTTAATTCTTGTGCCATGTCGGTGCACCGGCGTCGGCACAAATACTTGTCAGTGCAGAATTGCTTCTCCAGTTGTACAAGCTAGTGTGCGGTATAAGTTGTTCTGGCTCGCTTCGGCTTTAGAGTTCCGCTTGAATTAGGCCCTGCACTGCTCGGAGTTGGTGCTGAACTCTTTTCTATATCTGTTAAGAAATAAAACATCTTTTAGTTACGATCACCCCTGCTTAGAAGGACAGGGTCCTCCCTTTGCAATTCGACTAAGATGGCAGTATCGCTGCAGTTTACGTCATTCAGCATAGCTGTTGCTACCCGACCCTCCAGAGTAGATGGGACCCAATCTATTAGGATTGGTCCAACCCCGTGTCTAACCAAGGCATGTCTGATAGAGTCGATTGTGGTGCAATTAAATGCACCTTCAATGTCCAAAAAGGCCACGAGTGCCACTTCTCGCTATTCTAGAGTCTTCTCCAGCCTACCGACCAGATTGTGTAAGGCCAGATCAGTCGATTTTCCAGCTTGGTATGCAAACTGATTTGCATGAATGACGCACCTTTCCAGCGGGCCATCCCTTAAGTATCTATCAACTATCCTTTCCAGTGTCTTAAGCACAAAAGATGAAAGTGTAATCGGACGAAAATCCTTCGGGCCAGTATATCTAGTTCTGCCCGGTTTAGGAATGAATACCACTTTAGCCTGCCGCCAGCATCTAGGTGTGAAGCCCGTGGCCACACATGCTCGAAACACATTCAACAGGTGAGGAACCACCGAACTCCGTCCCTGCTGTAACATGGCCGGAAATACGCCGTCCAGACCTGGACTTTTGTATGGAGCAAACGAATCTACTGCCCATACCGTCCTCTCGAAGGTGACAATCTCCCTAGCCGTGCGCCAGTCCTCCCCTGAGGGCCTGCGAAACTGCATGCACTCTGCGATTGATCGCGCTACTGTGGAACCGGGAAAGTGCGTATCCATCAGAAGCCTCAGAGTACCTTCCTCAGCAGTAGTATTCCCCCCCGAGGGATTATGCAGATTCCAATCTTGCTTTAATGTCTTTGCATAGCACCCTATGTATTCTCGCAGTAGCAGGAATGTCGTTTATGGACTGACAGAATTCTCTGGAGGCCTTTCTAATCTCCTTTTTGTACTCCTGCAATGCCTTTTTGTAGTCTTCACATAGAGGAGAACTTATCCTGTGCTTAACTCTGCTAAGAAGTTTGTGCACCGCTCGTTTTCTATCCTCCAATTCTTTGGTCCAGAATGTTGCCTTGCCCTTACCTTGAACTTTGCGTAACGGGCAGTTTTCCTCATATGAAGCCGTCAAGAGACTCGACAGCTGCTTCTATGTCAGAGCCCCTACAAGGTCTGTATGGGACCGCTCCAAGCTTAGTGTCAATGTCTGCCCTAAAGGACCCCCATCTAGTATGCCTAGGATTCGGAGCATATTTATCTCTCCATCAGTCTTAAACAGTATATACCTGTGATCCGATAGAGAGGGTGTTAGAGACACTTTCCAGTCCCTAATGTTTAGTTGGTTTGGAACTTATTTAATTTTTTTCATTTTCTACTTGACTAGATTTTGTGAAAGTTAAACAGTCGTAATCTTTTAAGAAAAAAACCACTATCATTTCGATACGGAGGGTATATTACTAGTAAAAATACTATGTATTTAACTTATTTTGCTTCTCTTCGTGTCAGTGGTGACAGGGTTTGAATACACATAGTTGTATTCCATATGGCAGTTGTTGGAATAAGGGTTTTCTCCAACTTGGAAAACTGTAGTTTTCACCCACATATTCAACAACACCATACGTTGGTGACGACTCGGTTGAAACAGCATGGGGTGAAATAGGCTCGGTCAGCAACGTGTCGGCGTAAGTTCGTGCACTGTAAAGGTTCTCCCTGTAATCGGACATTTGGTCAGTCGAAGACATGCTGGATCTTACTAATGACGGGTATTTATTGAAAAGTTAGACCACTCCTTCCTCGTTAACAGTACCTAGACTGGCCAATTGAATGGTTCATCTGCCCACACTTCCTTATTTATGACACCGGTAGGCTAGCGCACTATGAGTACCGTACGACAGTGTTATTTAAAAATGATTAGTTGTCGCATGGTAGTATATAAGGCTAAATTTCTCAATAATGTGCAAAAATTAGCAAAAACTAACAAACTAGCACTAGACACTAGGAGTAAACAACAACCGAGGAAGTAGTGAGACCGCACACGACACAGGCGACACGCGACAACAAAGCGACCACGCAACACGCGCGTGTGATACGCGACCGACGCGCGGAGACGCGGAAACGGACGCTACAAACGAACACAGTGAAGTGCAGTGAACCCAAAAAGGGCACCAGTGCAAAGAAATACACAATTTCCAGTGTGCGGCCACAACTGAAAATTGTGTAAAAGTCGACCTTTGAAAAATCGATGGTAGTGATTGAGCGCGACACGTTCGAAACCGTGACGAAGATGTTGGATGAGGAAGATATTTATTCCTCATCTAGCGAAGATGAGGAGGATGCTCAACATGCGGGTTACCTAAACAAAATGAAGAACAACGAATTAAAGAAGCAGATAGCTGAGCTATCTTGTCAACTAGCGGAACTAACGCGCCAGTTAATAGAAGAAAGAAGAATAAGCGCCGAAGAGCGTGAAATGACTGCTAAGCTCATCGAGCAAATGGCAGCGAGACAGGGGACCGAGGTTTTTGACCACAAAAAGAAGAGAAAGACTGATGAAAATCAGAAGAAAGAAAAAGAGGAGGTTATCCAGCACCTCCTCAGAAGGAGGAAAGAAGAGAGATGCCCCCAAGAAGAAGGCACCCCGTCATGATCAGCCTACTACACCTGCAATCAAAACACTTGCAGAACAGGACGCGATGGACCAGTATCCCACCCCCAACCCCACCCCTCCGCAGACGGAGGCAAGCAAGAAGAAGGAGAAGAGGCCACCGCCGCTGTATATCCATTGGGAAGAGCAGTGGAAGGAAGTAATGAGATCACCATTGAGAAACCTGCACGGCTAACCGGAGCAGGTATCAAAGTCCAACCGAAAGACAGTGATGACTATAGGAGGATCAGAAAGACTCTAGAAGATGCCAAGATCGAGCATCATACCTACTTCCTTCCAGAAGACAAGCCACTGGGAGTGGTAACAAGGCGGATGCCGATCATTACCACCTACCAAGAGATCGTAGAAGACTTGGCAAGGCAAGGATACCATCCAAAGAGGGTGAGTAGAATGACCAGTAGGAGGACTGGCAAAGCGATACCGCTAATTAAAGTAGATCTCCCAAAAGAAGAATCGGGAATCTACAAGATAAGTGCTGTTTGCCACATGGTGATCCAGGCGGAGGCCCTGAAAAGAAGAACTGGACCCGGTCAGTGCTACCGCCAGCAATTTGGCAATAGCCAACTGTACTGCACGGGAGAGCCGTGCTGCGTTAGGTGCGCAGGAAAACATAGAGCGGCGGACTGTAATGTCCCAAACGAAAAGCCCGCGAAGTATACTAACTGAGGGAGAGAGCATCCCGCAAACCTTGGGGGATGCCCAAAGAGGCCGAGTGTAGGGCCAAGAGACAAGAAGACGACAACAAGGGGAACAGCGCAAGCAGCGCCAGCACCAAAAACCATAACTAGGCCTAGTCCAGTACAGGAGGACCGAAAGGAGCCCAAGCCGCTGAGGCCAGCAGTGCCAATAACAGCGATGCAGATGAGCTGACTGATTTCGCCACCAAAAACGCAACTCAAGTGATGTCGCTGGTAATGAAAAACCTGGCTGCCAAGAAAGCGTATTTTGCTCATCTGTAGCGAAAATACGCATAAAAAGGATAGCACTGACCAAACCTCCAAATGGGCACTCCAATAACCAGTGCCTGAAGATATTGAGTTGGAACGTTCACAGCGTTTCCAACAAGAAATATGAGATAGGCGAACTCCTAACAAGAGGAAACTATGACGTAATGGCATTACAAGAAACGTAGCTCTCTGGGGAAATTCCACACTGGACGATACAGGGATACACGACATACAGAAAGTACCGGAACAGAACCGGAGGTGGGGTGCTGCTAGCAGCCAAGGGCAGCATTACCCACTGGGAACTGGGACTGCCAGAACTGAGATCTGCCGAGGGCGTAGGAGTGACGGTACGCACAACCGACTATGGCCCCCTATTTGACTGGAAGACTGAAGCTGCTAGAGTAATAAAAAAATCGGGACACTGGCATTTCAAGTTTAACGAATCAAAGAGATTTATTTTTGCGAAAACACAAACACTTAATGCTACCATTCAAGGTGAACTTTTATACAAGTCAAATTTAGGAGTTCCTCGCAGTGTAACGAAAAGAAATCATAAAATTTCAGACATGAGACCCAAGAAGATGAAGACTGAAAACTCTTTGAAGGGAGACAAGTCTTCAGTTGACATTTTATTGAAGAACCATTACGGAAATGAATGGCGAAATTTACCTGAGTTAGAATTCTATAAAATTATTGACAAAAATGCAACAGAAGCCCAGAACAGAACAGACTCCGACGAGGAATACGAGAGTGAAGAAGAAGAATCAGTCGTAAAAATTTAATAAAAATGTTTTTTATTTATATTAAGTAAGGATGTATTTTTCGTTTTGAACTTTTATAATGTCTAAGCGAATAAATCATTTGAAAGTACTTGCGGTTTTACCTATGTATCACAAGAAATAAGTTAAAACTATAATTTCACCTAAAATGCAAAACTCGGTAAATGATTGCCTTAAGTGCAAAACTCTGCACTTGCATCTTTTATTTGCCATTTTTCAGTCCGTTAGGCCATCATTATTACTACTTACAGTCTTGAGCATTGATCACAAAAAAAAATACCTGCTCCTGGTACAGAAACTTTAGCAGCTCTTCCGAGGACGAACCAAGCATTTTCGGTCATTTTTCTTTAACATCGTCCGAAATTGTGTCAGAATAGTCACATTTTTGTCAAGATATATAACTTTCAACCTGGCCTATACATAGGGATGAAGAAGAGCAACAAGAAGATAAAGATGAAAGTTATTTATTCAAGAATAATGCAAATACTACTATAGAGTAAGAAGTACAGTACCTGAAGAAGCTATTAGAAACAAAGAATGAAATAATTTTAGATAAAGAGAGGTATACCAATCAATTAGTTAATGAGAACAGACGTTTACAGGAGCATTATGAATTGATCATTAACAGTATTGTGGATAAAGAAACCATAATCACTTCTTTGGGGAAAATAAATGAAAGAGTTCAAAAAAAAGCAGAGATGAGAAGATTGTAGATAAAATTAATAATACACAAAAGTTGATGGTAAAAGGTACGGAGAAATCAAACTCTAATATGTTGGAAGATTTGAAGAAGAGCATTGATCCAGCTAAGTCAAATATCTGTGTGACTCTGTGAGGAGGGTGAATAATGGCATAATTCTTAGCTGCGAAAATGAAGCATCATTGTCCAAGCTGATGGCGAGTATACAGGGAGAACTCGGTGCGAACTTCACTGTCAATGAGATCAAGAAATATCGCCCACGCATGGTGATAAATAATGTATACTAAGTGACATATAAATCCGAACACCCAGTTTAAATGGTTTTATTTTAATAAAATTTTGTATAAGTACTTAACGAAGCATAATAAGTAAATGATAAAAATTTCAAAATGATTGCACTGCTTTAAAGCCCTTTGACCTTTAATAATGTGTGGATGCACCCATTTTCCGCATTAAAAGCTGTTTTCTCGATGTCTTCTTCAGACACTTCAATCTGGTGAAACCCGGAAGCTAAATCGAGTGTCGTAAAGTATTGGCACTTGCCTAATTTATCTAACAAATCATAAATATTTGGAAGGGGGTATTTATCTCCAATAGTTTTTTCATTGAGCTTTCTGTAATCGATAACGACGCGCCATTTTCTTTTACCGCTAGCATCGAGCTTCTTCTCTACTATCCATAATGGAGCACAATATGCTGATGTTGAATGTCTAATAATATTTTGGTTAAGCATTTTCTGAATTTGATTTTGGATTTCTTTTCTGTGTATCTCTGGATATCGATATGACTTAGTATATATTGGTATCTCGTCTGTAGTTCGAATTTTATATTTAATTTTGCTAGTAAATGTTAATTTGTCTCCCTCAAAATAAAAAATGTGGGAATAATCTTTAATCAACTTCATAATCGCATTTTTCTCTTCGAAATTCAGATGTTCCGTTCTAAATTTAGAAAAATCGATCTTAACTTGATCTGTACAATAATTATGTAAATTAGTTTCACTGATTGTAGTAGCCAACTCGTAATCCGCGAACTGATCTACTCTCAATGGATCTAAATTACTTATTTTTATTGATGAATCGTTCGGATTCAAAATAGTGCAAATGGCTTTTCCATTTTTCACTGTAGCAATACACTGCGGTATTTCTAAATTACTTATCCTTGTATAAGGAATAACTACATCACCATTTGTGATATTTGAGACTTGGATCTCGATTATTTTCTCTGTACGAGGTTCTACTATAATACAAATTGTACTAGGTAATGTTTTATGAAAATGTATCTTCGTACTGATATTTGGAAGTACCAATGTTTCATTATCTAGGTCAATAAATGCTTTCATTAGTTTCAAGTTATCGACTCCTAATAAACAATCAAAATATTTGTGAAAATTGAAAAGATAGAACTTTAACTTATTGTTCACTTTTGTGTTGAACATATCAGTAGAAGGTATTGTAGTACTGAAATTTTCAGTTGAACTTCCATGAACCGTGGAAATTTGAAATGGATCCTTTTTAATCGAATCTTTAAAATATTTATCCGCAATTTCTGGACGAATGAAACTTTTCGTACTACCTGTGTCTATCAATATTTTCAAATGTAACTTAGGAGAAATAATGTAAGGTAATTCACTATCGCTATTTGTATTCATTAGTTCATAATGAGGCATTACTGATCCGAGGCTGTTTGCCGAAAAATTTGATCTCCATCGTTATCTTGATTCGAATCATCAGGTTCGTTTGGATAGTCAACCTGTGGCTACAGGTCTATATTAAATAATTCCTCAACCACGTAATTGGGTCTCGAATTGTTGTGATTTACAAAATAATTGTTATTTGGATTTCTTTGGTACGATTGATTTTGCTGAGGTCTGAATGTATTTATAGTTGATGTCGACATAGGTGTAGGTTTAGGAAATGATTGATTTTGATTCGGCCTAAACACATTAGGTTGCTGTGTTTGTCTAGCATTGCTCTGGCTACGATGGTTTTGGTTATGAGGATAATTAGTAATAGGTAAGGGTGGTCTAAACTGTGAGTTTTGGAAATTTTGAGGATTTCGCTTAAATTGATTTGCCTTCGGATGATGTTTTTGACCAAACTTCTGTTTAAATTGATTTTGTTGTACTGCCTCTAACTGAAAATCATTCGTAAGCATGTGCAAAGCTTGATTGAGATCTTCTGGGTTTTTTATACGCATTAAAGATCCAATAGGTTCCTTCAAACCTCTTAATAAAATTCTTAAAGCTAGATTTCTACAATAGTTATTAACTATTATAGCTTCATTTTCTGGTAAGTGTGATACAGAGTATGAAATTTGTAAATTTAACAAATGTTGAATCCTATTATAAAATTCAAAGGGGTTTTCGTTTTGATTTTGCCTTAATTCTACCATCTCTATATTCAACGTGAAAAGATCGATCCACCAAGTTGGAATTCCTCTAGATGGTTGAGTCCACGCGACCGACCGAAATTACCGATTCGCGAGACTTTTTTTCGGTTCGTATTTGGTCAATCGTTCGACGAAGGGTGGTTTATAAGCCGCAAACAACCCCCAAATAACCTACTGGCTGCGCCACTTATATTTCGGGATAACGTAAGTGCCTTTTTAAAAATATTTATTTCCGAAAATACAATAGTGGATGGTACGAAAGTTAGATTAAGACTAAATTTTAATTATACAAGTACAATGTTCGTTAGCATGAGTAAAACAGGAAACATATCATGTTGCATTTCAATGGTTGCTAGGCGCTGCGATGATGTGCTGACTTGCATTTTCTATTTTGTAGCTTCTCAAGGGTAGCCCTATAACTTACATACAAAAGCTACTATTCTAAATCACAATCGATTAGCTTTATAATATGTATACAAGTTTGCAAGTCAGAACCCATTATTACTAAGTCCCATTAATATTATTACAATCTGTTTTCGGAACAGTAGTAATGCTAAAAAAAGAAGACCAAAAAAACTGCTAACGTTACTTATATCATCTCTGCCACCACTATTAAGCACTAAAAGTAATATGGGACTATTTTACCCGAATAGCAAATTTTGCAACAGTTAGACCGAGACTTCAATAATTTTGCAAGACCAAGGCTGACACTAAGTTAGTCTTGATCTTAGCCCTAGCCGTCATGCCACTTATTAAACTGTACCTCCTGAAATCGAATTATTTTTGTCCAGACACATACACACGCGCTAAAAGCATAACCTTCCTTCTGAGGCAGCCAGGTAAGTATCGCCTCTTACCCCCAGGCTGCAAGGTAGCTATTGGCTGCCGTGAGTAGCTACTATTCTTATTCACACGACATTGGCTTGAGTATTCGGAAATTAATGCGAGACTCGAATTCCCTATTCTCGTTCCTACTATTTTCTCCTATATATTATTGCTTTTGAAATAAATTTCACTCTGAAGTTATACTGTGAATCCTTTCCGCTTGACTGTAACAGGTTGACTGTCAGAACTTACCTAATCGTAGAAGGAGATATAGGAAGAAAATCGCATTCAAATATTTATGAAATGTTATATAATATATACTAATAACTTAGGTCAAAGCATTAATCTGTACCTAAAATTTAGACATCAATCCATGTGAAGTACTGTTTAATCGTATTTTTGTGTATTTTTTGAGCATTTTATGATCTTTGGACAAATAACATTTTGAATATCACGTCATGTCATTAAAAGTTCTTAGAATTTCTGTACCTGGAGTTTTGAAAAGTACTTATAACTTTTGTTTGAATTGATATTTTGTTGTGTCAATTCATGCGAAATGAACAGCATTGGTCACTATGCTTGACCTCTCATTTGACTATGAGCGAAAAAGTATATTCAAACATCCAATTTGCAAGAAAGTCAGTTTATTGCATTTGTATAAATAATAACTGTTAATATTACATAAATTAGTCAAAATATGTACATAAGCTATAAACAGGCGAAAAACTTTTACAAAGACGTTAAATGAATTCAGTAAATCAAAAACGCTTCTGCGCTGCATATCGGTGTAAGTCTCATCGATTTGCCACTTTCGATTTGACGCTCAATTTGACTTTAACCCAATGAATATACCCATTGTCAAGTACACCAACAAGTTCAAATTAATGATGAGGATACTAGTGAGTTTCAACGTCATAAGTAATATTGCACATAAATAACTTTGACAAAACATTTGGTGAGTTATAATTCAAAACATGTATTCCAAATTGACATATTCAATGGCTTAGCAAATTTTTAGAAATGAAACACTTAACAAAGAAGTTTACCATTTTCCCAACAAAGTAATTTTTTTATGAAACTCGGGCACTAACATCACCCAGAAAATTGCTTTTGTATCTTTTAAGTCAAAATTACAGTTTATAGAACGCACATATCGTCCGGTTACTGAAAAAAAAGAAAAGTACATTTTTGGGTTAAGTACAGTTCCCTATCTAAAATGGTATAATGTGTATGCCCGCGAAGAGACATACCTTAATATTAGGAGGATGAGATTTGTATGTGTGTTTTACAAATACGGTAAATGCAATATCAATAAAGGAAAAACAAGATTAGCTTGAAGTTTGTAAAAGTAATGTTGTTCCTAAGAAATATCATTATTATTAAAAATCGCGTCCGACCTCCAAAGAAGCAAACGGTCTTATTACAGAACCAGCAGCAGAGGATTTTGATCCCGAGGTATAGGAAGAGTTAAATATCTGAGGTATAGAAATGTATACATCCAAAACAAGACAAGTGCAAAAAATGGTTTGTTGTTAATAGTTTTCTAAATGTTATATGTTTTACTGCTGCTTTTAGACTTCCGTTAATTCAGTTTGTGAATAAAAAAGCATTTTATTTCTTTGTTTAATTTTTAACTTAACAATGACGTTCAAGATCCTCGGATCTTCGAAGTATAAAAATGTAAGTTACTGGTAATGGCTCTAACCCGACTATATACAAGTGAATGCTAATTAATTCTTACTGGATTCAGTCAATATGCCAAAAACAAACAGCAAAAAGAATCCTGCTGACTGGCATTGCAAAACCTTGCTTGAGCTATGTATGTACCTACTTCTCTCGTTTCGAGTTAAGAAAGAATTAACCAACAAAAAAGTGTGTGTGACATTTAGGAGAAGTAGAATACATTTAGAACCTCAAGAGACTATCAATGGCACATATAGTGCATGGATATTGGTCGTCACAACCAATAGGACACTCACTATTCTGTCCCAAAATATAGTCATCACTTGACGGCTGCTCATTTGTTTTGTTGTTGAGGTAGGACTGATTTAATGGCTTATCCTCTACAAGTTGCTCGCAATTCACAGGATAGCAGATTACTGGATCATGTTGGTATTGATAATTCGGATCTAGTTTGACGTTTTCGTATAAGCTTTGACATTGGCTGATGTACAAAGCGTTACCTTCCCACTGGTCTCCCTGCACAGTGTGTGGTACGCATTGACTATGACCAGCCTGCCCGCCAGTCACCAAATGATGATCGGGCCTCACCGTTTCAACCCTTGGCTTGCTATGTGAACTAGGAGTTAATGCAGCAACTGACAGAGTAGGAGAGGTCCTGTTGTCTAATCCAGGAGAGGGCGTCCTTTGTTTTTGTTCCTTTTTACATTTCATCCTTCTGTTTTGGAACCAGACTTTGATCTGACGTTCCGTCAGGTTTAAGAGTTGAGCCATTTGGGTACGACTTTTTCGGCACAGGTATTTGTTAGAGTGGAACGCTTTCTCCAGTTGAACAAGTTGGGATGAAGTATAAGCTGTTCTGACTCGTTTGGTATTTGGAGTATCGCTTGAGCTCCGCTTTGGGCTGATTGGACCTGGTGGAAGACTCTTTTCTGTATCTGGAAAGAAACAAACTTTTTAGTTTGGCTACTCATTCGTGATTTTCAGTTTTAGTATTGGCAAATATAAGTTCAGAATACATTGTGATATGTGCTGGCAACAGTGCGAGTTGTTTACTGCTTCTCCCACTCGATCAAGATATTGTTTCTATTGGAAAATCGAGAAACTAAATATGAAAAGTGAGTTCTAGTGTTGTCTTAGACCAGTTTGTACAAGTGCATAAGAAGGTAAAGCAGTACCAGTGGATTTAAATAAGTTAAATCAGCTGGCGACTACAAATGCCAAAGGCTTGTGCCATAAGTCTGTCTTTGATGACCAAGATGATATGTTATGTTATAAATGCAGTATTTGGAAGCATATGACAGGTCTGGCAATGTCTAAAATTATATGAAGTTGAGCAAATCTTCTCACCAATAGTTGTGTAACTTGTGTAGTGCTGAAGATGGAGCAAAACAAATTGATCAGCAACAAGTAAAAAGCTACGCCTAAGTTGGATGCAATGGACGAAAGGTGCAACGCGGTGCTTACAAAATTTGCTGAGCAGGTCAAAATTAATGAAACCTTACAAAAGGAAATAGATAGTATTGAAAAACAGTTAAACAAAAGCTCTCAAGAACCTGTAACCTGTTCGTTCAAGGAGGAAAGCCCACCAGAAATCAAAACGAGACCGGTAACTACTTTGATGTTCCAATAAACCATAAGTCCACTCTTTTTCAATTGAAAAAGAGAAACACAAAGGATGGTACAATCAAATTAGTATTTAAGTATGACTAAATTAAAAGTTTCTTCAATAAAAAAATAAATTCAATCCCAGGATTTAAGCTACGCAACCGGTAATAAAGTATTTCTAAACCTGAGCTCACAAAAGCGAATGTTAAAGTGTACAAAGCTGCAAGGTTGTTCAAAGATGAAAAAGGCTACAAACTGCTATCGATTGGGGACAGAAGCGTTTTCCTACGGAAATATGAGCGATCTAAAGTTCTGTTAGTTGAAAATAAGGAGCAGTTGGAAAACTATAAGAGCCTGGAAAACGCCTTAAAATTGCTTAAATGAATAGCTGATGCACTACATCAGAAATAATAATGTTCTTGTGCAATATAGTATGTTCAAAGAAGACTAGTGGTTTATGAATCCTGGTTGCAGAACCGCCGTTTTGAGTTAGAGACTACTCTTCTGTGTTTAATGCTAATGACATCATAAACTAGATGTGTGTTGGTTTAGGTGAACAAAGTGTTAAAATTAGTGAAACCTACAATCCATCATCGTACAGCAATAATGATTTCTTCCGTATCTCGAGTCCATCCTCCTTAAACGTCCAAGAAACCATTTAATTAATATTATTATAAACCATGAACCTGCTAGAAGATTATCTAGTGACTTTTGACTACAGAAATTTGTTAACAATAAATAACTGCAAAATAAATAATTAAATATGTGAATTCCCAGTGATCGTGGTAGTAAGATAGATTATAATGTGAGTGTTAAGGAAAATGCCCTGTGGGATCATAAGTTACTGTTAGTGAATGTTAAACATAGCCTCAAAAATCATAAGCCATAGGTAGATTATGAAATAAAAACTGTAGATTATTACTGATTTCAATGTCTTGTTCAACAGAAGGTACAAACAGTGAATATCACTACATTCCAGTACCTAATTAGTATAATTCAAGAATGTAAGGTCAAGTCGGAAAGAATACGTGAAAATAATTTCTGGATAGGTAAAGAAATACTTGAAATATGAATTTAGTTTTTAAAAAAGAATATATTATGTTCAAAAATCGTCATTTAATTCGTTTGGAACAATATGCTCCTTAGCGCTTTGGGATAACCGTACTGTGAAACTTCTAGCCACTGCTGTTAGCCTTTTCGTGCAATCTCAGCAACCTACGAACCGACTTTGATAAATTCTCTTAAACCAGTACAATCTGTTGTTTTAGTTGGTACTTTTTGAGAATCGATGGCACAGTAATTTTCTTAGAAACGATCAATAAGTAAATGATAATTTTGTGGAAGGAAATATAAAAAATGCATCTATATTCTGCATTTTGAATTTGTATATATACAGGTTACTAATCGTAGTATTTAAAATGAAAGTTGGTATTGCTTATCACTATCGTGATGACTCACCTGTCGATCTTTTATCTTGGCTGTCAGCGTATTGGTAGGGAATTTGGATGCTATAGAGCGGTTTTTCCTGGATGGCAACTTGAGCATCCTGAGTCGAAAATGAAAAATTGGGCTGTTGGTCATTTGTACATTTCGATAGATGTTGGTTGATTTGTAGATCCTGAAACAAAAAATTGTTATTATAATAAAATATGGTATGACTACACTTTCATTGCTTTTGTCTTGAAGCTAAATGGTTGTATAGTTGGTATGAGGGAATATCCTCGTACCAAAAAGTAGTAGTCAAAAATATCTTCATGCGGAAAACGTGTTGTAAATGATGGTTATGAGACTGGATTGATATTTTAACTTTTTGCGTATACACGTATAACAATGGAAGCAAGCACTGGTTTGATCACCCTTTTTTATTTGGAAATTAAGATTCAAGGGTCTTTTTGACGTGTACATTTTCATTGCTTTTGTCTTGAAGCTTAAAGTTAAATGGCCGTATAGTATGAGAAAAAAATATCTTCATGCGGGAAACTTCTTGCAAATGATGGTTATGAGACTGGTGTGATTTTTTAAATGTTTTGAGAATACACGTATAACAATGTAAGCAAGCAATGGTTTGATCACCTTCGTTCAAAAATTCAAGTTTAAGTAAGGATTTTTTTCAATCTTCCAACTATTTTTTTACATATATACTAGCATGTAAAATGTTATCCATCGTCAAGCTCAAATATCCTGCTTTCCATGATGCACAGTTTTGAAGATGCTTATATATCTGTCTAATCTTTAAAGTAAAATACAAATATCGAAATAAGACCGTACACGGTGGTCGATTCTGCTAACAGCACTTAGTGCTGAGAAGTTGCCAAATAGCAAAAAACGGACAAACGAAATCTATATTACTAGTTAAAATACAATTGTTATTTTGTTTCTCTTCGTTACAGTGGTAACAGAGTTGATTACTCCTCTGATTTTGGTTATGTATGAAACTAGAATAAATTTTCCATCTACTCACCACAAAGTTGTTTTCCACATGGTAGTTGTTTGTACAAACGTTTCCTCCAGCTTGAAAACCGTAATTTCCATCCCCGTACTCAGCAACAGGGCCAGCAGCACTATACGGTGGCGAAGATTGGGTTGAGTTCGAAAGGGGTGAAACACCCTCGGTCAGCAGCATATTGCTGTAAGCTTCCATGCTCTCAAAGTGGTTTCCACTGTAATCGGACAATTGGACAGTTGAAGACATGCTGAACTGCAATGAGCTGAACTTTACTAATGAGGGGTGTTTATAGAAAAGCTTGACCACTCCTTATCTCGTTATCGGTACTCCGATTGGTCAATTGAAGGGTACATCCGCCTACCTGCTTCTTATTTTGGCAGAGTAAGCATTTTAATCCGTAAGAAGGCAAATTTTATGATATCGACAGGCTAGCGCAGAAAGAATCTTTTACAACTGTAATAGTGCGACAGAATTGGTAAGAACGTGAGAAGATTCTTTATTTTCTTCATCAATTGCTGTAACAAAGTTCTTAAGACTGATTTAAAGTAGTTCACTAGCTTTTGTTGCCGATGTAACGGTAACGTAATTTCATTTTTTGTTGGACTACTTTCAGTACAAGTCATACTTTGTGGTGTATTGTCTCAAAATTTAATGGGTACACAGTACAGGGTGGCACAAAATGATCGCTAAGACTTGAAAAATAAAATAGAAAGACACATCTTTTAAGACAAGTTTCCATTCAACTGTTATAACTAACTAAAAGATCAGAAACATTTTTTTTCCGATCCAAATCATAAAACGCTTGCACTTTGTATCCATATTTCAGGTGTTATTACAGAAATGATATCGTCATCTTGAAGCAGTTCCGATATTGGATTGCAGCTCAGTTAAGTCTAACTGGTTCAAGAATGAAGAAGTCGCAAGTCTGAGGGGTCCGATATATAAAACTCTTCCATTTGATACCCAAGTTGTAGGTGTTAACGCGGAAATGATATATCGCCATTTACATATATATTTCGTATCGTCATGCGAACAAAACGTGTATATAAAGCTTTAGCTCAATTGATACAGGTTAACTGGTTAAAAACTGAAGAACGTGTAAATCAGACTTTTAATAATAATAATAATAGTAATGTGTATTGGAGTATATACTCGTACAAAGATGAGCAATCCAACTTGCACATACCTCTTGCATCTTCTGGCCTCCAAAAATACCGAATTGCAACGTTGTATTAGCACCGAAGACAGTCTAAAAAGCAAGATTGATACTGGAAGGTAATGTCCGAGCAATAAATTATAGATAAAAGGTACCGCATTCTATAGAGGCGCGTGGCTTGGTTGTCTCCAGTGGCGGTGGGCTATTGCTGTTGATCAGGTGTAAGCTTAATTAAATTCCCAATATGGTGTGATTTTCAAATCAGATTAAATCTTTATTTGTAATATATCTTCAGGCTTGTGTAAATCAAAATATTTCTTTCAAATTTCAATATTCAGGGAGAAGCAGGTTGTTTGATTAATTCTGATATGGTAGGTTGGATGTTTGGTATTGAATAGACAAGCCGTAAGTGCTAGGCTACCGAACTTAGTTACGTTTGGAAACTGAACATTCTCGTATAAAATATAAATATGAAAAACGTTTAGTTTACGAAATTAGCGCTGGCTATTTATCCTTCTTGCAACTAATTTCATTAGCTCTGAAAAGTATTTCACCAGTATTTATTTTAACCGCTTTCTGTGTCTATACAAAACTGCATTCTGGTCTACATGCTTCTTACTTTGTAGACATACTGGTAGGTTCAGCCACTTTAGACATTGGGATTGCACTAAGCCAACGGCGGCGACGAAGTAAATAAGAAATGAATAAGTCCTTCTTGATTCAATTTACAAATTAATGCATTAATCAAAGAAACTATCCTGTTTTTAGTCATAAAATATTACCAGACATTTGAGAAACAAAATTTCAATAGGTATTAAGAGTAATCCATGTAATTTTTTCTTATGAATGTGGAAGTGGAACAGCCAGCGGGTACGCTAATGCAGTCGGCGGCGCGGCACCTCAAAGACAAAAGCTGTATTTTGTGTTTATGGCTCATGGCGGAAAATACAAAAATGATTTTGTCAATCATTTGATACCCCTTCTCTCTTCTACTACCCTAAAACACATTTTGTTCATTTTCGTGTTGTGCTTTTTGTCACTGGAAGCAAACTGCAGCTAAACTGTTTTCACAAATCTTCTTTGAAAACTTACTTAGTCAGGCTTCGCCTTGAAATGATATTCCCAATTTGGGGGATGGGACGGAGATTTTTTTCAGTGTATAGTATAGAAACATTGTATGTATAAAAGAAATCTATTTTGAATAACAATATGTATTTTTTTCAGAATGCTACGTGGCCCGTATTAGATTTTTGTAAGAATGCATTTGTTTATTTGTTACTTTTGTTTATGGATTTATAGAGAAACTGTTTTTTTTTTTTGAGAATTCTAGATTGATTTATTACTTGTTTGTATTTTAGAGGATATTATTTTTATTTTAATTGCATGGAATTAACTGTTTTATTTTATTATTTTATACTATATTATATATACTCCATAATCATTTGAATTTTTATTGAACCACTCACTACCTTATTATAACAATGAGCTGATGGATTATAATTTATTGTTTGCGCAACCTAGGCTTGAGTGCCAAATATTTGACCTACCATAGAAAAATTCATCTCTCAATCTCTCTCTGTTTGGGGACCAGTTATTAAACAGACAGGCCGTCGGCAATGAGTAATCAGGGGAACAGAAACACTGCGTTCCGCGACCTGTCCTTATGTAGAGCGTCCCCCTTTTTTCCTGTATAATTTATTGCCGGTTTATTTCTTTGATCTCCTTTACGGCTGTCTGAGCAAAAGCTAAACATACACGGTAATGATTACACAAAAGGAAATGCCATAAACAGGTTACAATAACAATAAGAGTTTTGAGCCTAGCAACTAGAATTCTTAGAGAGATTTTACAAGGAGTGTGTATATTCTGTATGTTCAAGTGTTGTGTTCTGAAGATTTAAAAATAGGAAAATTGATATATCATTATCTTAAAAATCGCCGCAAATCCTTCCACTCTCAAATCTGCCGTTGGTAATAAAGGAAATCATCAACTTGAGCATTTTATAGACCAATTGCGTATGAGTGAAAGGCGAAAGGTAAGAAATCAAAGGCCCTGGCTGGAATGAAGCTTCCAAACGCTGGGAGATTTTAGGTACGAATTCGCGTCGTGTGGGTCGAGACAGTTGATTATGATTTGTTCATCAAAATATTCATACAGATCATGTTGTGGCGGAATTATGAATCTGAATATGCATACTAGTTAACCAGGCTGCTGAGCATATTAGCGCTGGCTATTTATCCTTCTTGCAACTAATTTCATTAGCTCTGAAAAGTATTTCACCAGTAGGTATTCAGTTTAACCACTTTCCGTGTCTATACAAAACTGCCTTCTGGTCTACATGCTTCTTACTTTGTACAGATACTGGTAGGTTAAGCCACTTTAAGCAGAAATCCAAGTATATAGACTTTTTGCTTTTCCAGAAATCCTCCCAATGCTAATAAAAACAATTATGATCAATTATGATTCATTAAATTTGCTCATATGTGATTTCCTAGTTTAGTCCGAATTTTAAAGGTGCCCATAAAAGTGATTTGTAGGAGCCACAGTTGTGGTTGATTTCGCGATAGTAATCGTTTCCTGTAGATTGAGATACTGCCCAACCAGTGGTTTTATCCAGAAATAGATCTGGGAGGAGGCTCAGGATCCAGGGTCGTGGAGATAGAAAACTGCATAGCAGGGGGGAACTCGCTTAGTCCAGGTAGCACACTTCACAGAAGGTTTAACATGCTGTAATATGTAGAAGAAGCCTAATGAGCTGTTACGCTTCGGCAAGGGAAACTCCGAGGAGCCTCAAATCCCTCCCTTGAATACACCCGTGTGCCCATACCAGAATAGTAACAGAGGCGTGTGGGGTCTGTGGGCCTAGCTCAAAGAGTTCCGCCGTTCTTTCTAATATCATTGGGTTTCCATCCAACCAGCGACGGCGACGAAGTAAATAAGAAATGAATAAGTCCTTCTTGATTAAATTTACAACTTGATGCGTTAATTAAAGAAATTATCCTGTTTTTGTAATAAAATGCTACCAGACATTTGAGAAAAAAAATAATATTTTAAGTTTCAATAGGCATTAAGAGTAATCCATGTAATTTTTTCTTATGAATGTGGAAGTGGAACAACCAGCGGATACGCTAATGCAGTCGGCGGCGCGGCATCTCAAAGACAAACGCCGTATTTTGTGTTTTTGGCTCGCAAAGACTGACTGACCAGTTATCAAACAGACCGTCGGCAAAAATCAGGGGAGCAGAAACACGCCGTCCTGCGACCTGTCTTTAGGTAGAGCGTCCCTCTTTTATCGAGTATAATTTATTGCCGGTTTATTTCTTTGTTCCCCTTTACCGCCGTCTGATGGATCATTCTAAGCAAAAGCTAAACATACACGGTAATATTTAACGAAAGGTCATGCGATAAACAGGTTACAATAATAATAAAAGAGTTTTGAGCGTAGCAACTAGAATTCTTAGAGAAATTTTACATGGAGCACCCTTCAAAACACTTTAAGGAGTGTGTGTATTTCGTATTTTAAAGAGTTGTGTTCTGAAGATTTAAAAATAGGAAAATTGAT